CAGCCCAGAACCTGGGAACTGGGTAACCGTGATGTGCCGGGTTCATCATGACCCAGCACTTTGCCTGGCAGGGACCACATTAGCGCCCTTGTCTCCAACTCTGAGCTGGGGTGATCCTCCCCCCACGAAGTGCTGCGGTGCAGGCTGGAACCCCATCCACCCATCCATCACGGGGAGAGATTGGGCTCGATGGCTCCCCGGTGACGGCAGTCATAAACAATCGTGAGAATTAATGGGTCTGAGACGCGCACAGCCCGCATCCCAGCGCAGGGCCTCCTGGTGGAATGGCTCGGCCATCTCAGGACGGGCTCCCGAGGGGCCCTGCTCCGGCCCCTCCCGGCGGCACTGGTCACAACAGCCGCAGCTGCCCTCTGTTTCTAAATCCTGTCCGCGTCCTCGGCAGATGGCCTGATCTGAACTTCAGAAAATGCCACGTTTAATAAAGTTCCCGGTAATGTCCCCCTACTTGGCAATTAGGGTGAGAACGAGAGCAGCAGCATGACTCTGGTATTGATGGTGTGCGTGCGTATGCATGCCTCCCCCCCCCTCTCTCTCCTTCATCGATCTAGCGACGATCGAGGATGCGAGTTGCGAGAGAGAGAGGCTCGCGCTTAGGCGAGACTAGTGCGGAGACGATATCTCGAATCTCATCGCTGTAGCTGTATGAATGTCTCGGTCGGGGCGCTATAGAGCTAGAGCATGGGCTCGTCGCGAGATTCGTCTCATCTCTATTCTCTCTCTCTCTCCTCTCTCTCTCTCTCTCTCTCTCTCTCTCCTCTCTCTCTCTCCTCTCTCTCGCTCTCTCTCTCTCTCTCTCTCTCTCTCTCTCTCTCTCTCTCCCCCTCTCTCCTTCTCTCTCTCTCTCTCTCTCTCTCTCTCTCTCTCTCTCTCTCTCTCTCACACACACACAGCCTGGCACACACTCTTACTTTGCAGCATTTTTAGGAATCGCTGTGTAACGGTTAGCTGCTGCTCTAATCGCAGCTGCTCTGGTCCGTCCGATCAGCAGTGGAACCCCAGCTTTTCGCTGTTTCCCTCTCCGAAGGAGGAATCGGTACCAGACCCCTCACACCGCCCGTGCCAGGCGGGGGTCTTCCTGAGCTCTGCGATGCTCCGCATGGAGCACTTCCTGACACAGTTGCTCATCATTAGCCTTCCCTCCCCATTCAGCAGGTGCTGCAGCGGCGCTGGGCTGAGGGCTCAGAGGCAGCTGCCGCGTGCTCCCCAGGCTGCCCCGGCTTTTTTGGGAAGAGGGAGCTGACACGCGCCATCGGGCCTGCAGTCAGCGCTGTCCTTGTGTGGGGAAGGCAGCCACTGGGCCTGGGGCCCTGCCAGGCCAGGGCACGCACAGCCCTGCATGGGAAAGTGTGGTCTGTACGTTGGTGCTGACTGTGCATATGCATGTGTGTGCACTCAAGTGCACATGCATGTGTGCTTCTACAGGTGTGCCTGTGGCCATATGTATTCACATGTGGATACATGCACCACCATATATGTATGTTTAGAGACCGGCACATGAGTCCTGTCAACTTCTAGTTACTGCAGCCCCTTTAAAAGCTTTAGAAAGACAAATTTCCTGGGTAGCTTATAGCACCCTGGTTACACAGAAAAACCGCTATTACAGGGAGTTATAAAAACCACAAATTTCCAGAAGAAATAATTAGCAGCAACCATTAACGAGTAGATACCATGTTCCAGGCATTTTACACTCTCCTTTTATCTTTGCAGCAACCCTAGGAGGTAGGACTTTGTTTTCCCCAATTTACACATGAAAGGCGAAGACTCAGAAAGGAGTAAGCACCTTCTCGGGGTCACAGAGCTAGGAAGTAGCAACGTTCAAAGGTGGACGCAAACAAACTCACTCCAGAACAAGCACCCAATACCTGCTTCATAACTGCCTCCTATTTCTAACATCTGAAAGTGTGTGTGTGTGTGTGTGTGTGTGTGTAGGTGTGTGTGTGTGTGTATAGGTGTGTGTGTGTATAAGTGTGTAGAGGGGTGTGTATAAGTGTGTGTATGAGCATGTATGTAGGTATGTGTGTAGGTGTGTGTGTAAGTGTGTGTGTAGGTGTGTAGTTATGTGTGTAGATGTGTAGGTGTGTGTGTAAGTGTGTGTAGTTGTGTGTGTGTGTGTAGGTGTGCGTGTAGGTGTGTGTGTAAATGTGTGTAGGTGTGAATGCCTGGTACATGTTTGGTACATGTGTGTAGGGAGTCCACACTTCCCCGGGGCTGAGCACCTGGAGAAGGTGGTTGGCACCTGGCAGAGTCCAAATCCTGGCTGGTCTGACATCCACAGCCAGGCAGGGAGGAAGCGCAGACCTCGCTCTGGAAAGGAGGCTGGCATTTCACTCAGGCCTAATCAGGCGGGAAGAGAACCTGGGTGGTAGATGGGGCCGGGGCGTGAGGATGGTAGACAGATGCCCACATCCTAATCCCTGCAGCTTGGGAATATGGAACCTTCCCTGGCAAAGGACTTAGCAGAGGTAATTAAATTAGGCATCCTGAGAAGGGGGGTGGGGGTCATCTAGATGATCCAGTGAGCCCCAGGTAACCACCCGGGTCTGTATAAGACAGAGGCAGGAGGGCCAGCGCCACAGCATACAGAAAGACCAGGAAATGGTACACTGTTGTCTTTGAAGGTGGAGGAAGGGGTCATGAGCCAAGGAATGTGGGAAGCTTCTAGAAACCGGACAAAGCCAGGGGATGACCCTACCCTAGAGCCCAGAAGGAATGCAGCCCTGCAGAGGCCCTGACGTTGGCCCAGGCATCTGAGCTGCAGGACTATGAAGGTCATATGTATATGAAGGTCATATTCATTTATACATAAAATCTGTTGCTTTAAGCCACTTAGTTGTGGTAACTTGTTACAGCAGCCGTAGAGACTAATACACAGAGTGGCTCCTTGACACCTGGGAGCATGCAGTGGCATTTGGTGCGTACTCTCTCACCACCACTGAGTCAGACCCACTTGGGACAGCTCTGGCATTTCCAGGGACCTGATCCAGCTCGTGTATGGATGGATTCTAGGGGCCCGCCTGCTTCACTCTACCTGGAACCACCATCGTGTCTGAAACTCTTCCTGCTCCGAGCCTCCTGAGGGCTCCATCCTTAGGTCCATGTGTTGTCTCAAACCCGAGGAAGAAGTTGAGTCACCTCCATTCAAAGCCCTTGAAAGCTTTCCCGTCACTGAGACTCCAGACACGACATGGATTGGCCACTGCCCATCTCTGCAGCCTCCTCTCCTCCATCCAGCCGCCAGCCACGCTGAGCAGCTCTCGGGTCCTTTGCACATGCTGTCCCCTCTTCTTCCAGGACTCTTCCTCGCCCTCTTGACTAGGTCAGCTCCCCTTTATCCTCAGGTCTCAACTCAAGGTCACTTCCCCTGAGGCCCCATCCTGACTTCTCAGATCCCTCTCTTAGGAGTTCTCACTGCTGCTCAGATGTGTCCTTCCGACAACCAACTAGGAGTCTAATTATGACGGTTTGTGTGACTATTTAAATGACATCTGAGTCTCTCAGTAGAGTTCCAACTTCATGAGGGCAGGGACCTCACCTGTTTGCTCCCTTTTTAAAAAATATATTTTATTGATTTTTCACAGAAAGGAAGGGAGAGGGATAGAGAGCTAGAAACATCGATGAGAGAGAATCATCGATCAGCTGCCTCTTGCACACCTCCTACTGAGGATGTGCCCGCAACTAATGTACATGCCCTTAACTGGAATTGAACCTGGGACCTTTCAGTTTGCAGGCCAATGCTCTATCCACTGAGCCAAACTGGTTTGGGCTGTTTGCTCCCCCCACCCCCCTTTTTTAAAAAAATATATTTTTTGATTTTCCACAGAGAGGAAGGAAGAGGGATAGAGAGCTAGAAACATCGATGAGAGAGAAACATCGACCAGCTGCCTCCTGCACATCCCCCATTGGGGATGTGCCCACAACCAAGGTATATGCCCTTGACCAGAATCGAACCCGGGACCTTTCAGTCCGCAGACCGACGCTCTATCCGCTGAGCCAAACCGGTTTTGGCTGCTCCTTTTTTTGATCCTCGCTGTCTACTTGGCAGGTGCTCCATGAATATTTGTCAAATTAATGAGCAGAGCTCATCTATATCCTGAGGTCAGACCAAGTTGAGAATCCACGTCCTGCCACCTCCAGAGGTCATCCATTGGTGTCCAGAGGAGGGGGCATACCCTTTCTGGCACCTCTGGGAGCATCTCTGAAAATGGGAGGTACCCACCGACATTACTGAGTAACCAACAGCCCCCCTTCAGCACGCAGCCTGGTGACGGATGTGTCTCCTGGGTGTGAGGCAGGAGGGTCAAGTTAATCAGGTGTGTAAACACATAACTAGAGGGCGACAGGCACTTATGCTGTCCAGATAATTGGGCACCTAATGTGGAGGCATAAAACAGGCGAGCAGAACCAGCCTGCCCATGCAGACAGGCTTGCTAGCAGCTTCGCCACTTAGAGTTTGAGTTGGCTCATTGGATGTCATGGGAGAAGGGGGTAAAAGGTGACCCTCCCCCCAGATCCTGGTTTGAGCAAGCCAGTGGGATGAGGGTGCCATTTTTGGAGAATAAGGAAATGTTTGCTGGGGACGGGGTGGGAATAGAGAGCTGCCAAGATGATGGAGCCAAGTGAATGAGATGCCTGTGAAGACATCCATGTGACAACGTCATGTAGACACATAGATGGACAGACCTGGAGCTCAGAAGGCAGTTTCCTATCAGAGGGCACACGAGGCAGAAAGGACTAGACTAGAGTCTGAATCTGAGGTCAGTAGACCAGATGGCCTTTAGGGGATAGGGGAGGGGTTCTGTGATTTTTCTGAAAATGCACCAGACTTCCTGTGCTTGTTTCTTAGGGAGGTTCCAATAGTCATCATGACATACGTAAGAGCTCATGGCTCAGAGAAGCAATAGACCATTAGCCTGATCCTGTGGGAGAGGCAGGTGGCCCCTGGTCCTGGGAGGTCCTCAGGACCCTGTCTCTGCTTCCAGGCGTCTGGTGGACCGTCTGGAGACCATGAGGAAGAACGTGGCTGGGGACGGGGTGAACCGCTGTATCCTGTGTGGCGAGCAGCTGGGGATGCTGGGCTCTGCCTGCGTCGTGTGCGAGGACTGTAAGAAGGTACCATCACCCTCCTCCTCTTCTCCTCCCTGCATCCCTGCTCATTTCATGCAGAGGGACCAGGCCTGGGATCAAACTTTGGGGGACCCTGGGTCTTGGGGGTAGGGCCAGGAGCCTGAAGGGTAGTTGCCAGAATATGATTCCTACTGGGATGCTCTCACATCCAGCTGTCCCCTGAGGTAACCCTGATCCTGGTTCCTCCCATGACCCCTGCCTGTGACCCCTCTGTCTCCTCAGAGCTCAGGTCCATCCAGGATGAACTTGGGAGCTTGAGGTAAGGCATGAGCTAAGGTTGAGTCTGCAAGTATTCTGGCTGTGGCTTAGCAAGTTAAGTGTCAGGCTAAAAGAGCATGGTGGACTCATGTCTACACACGTGTGTACGTGAAAGGCTAACCCAGCATTCTCTTAACCTGTGTTATAGTACAGTGACTTAGAAGGCCCCTCTCCAGCCCAGTTAGGACCATTGGACTTTGAGACCCTTTATTCTTGAAGGGGGCTCTCCTCGTATTCCTCCGCCCGGTACCCTCTCCTCAGCTGTCTGCACTTGACAATGCCAGCGCCCTGACAGAACTGTCCTTGGGTCTGCCTGATTCCCAGGGAAGGAACTTAGGAAAATGAGCCACCTGGAAACACCCATAGAGTCACTTGGCATCTCCTGCTTGGGGTCCCCTTTGGCATTTAGATGGAATATTGAAGGAAGTCGATCTATTCCAAAAAATCTCATCTGCTGCCGTCAGCCAAGAGTGAGAATTCGGTGACTCATCAGGCTTTCCTGTTTGCCTTGACTGCCAGAAAACAGCCAAAAATATAATGTCCAGTCACGCAGTCGTGGTGTTTACTCACATAACTTCCTTCTCCTTGAAGATGGGAAGCTATGGTTGTAGCCTAGGCAGACTCAGATTTGCGTGGGAAGGGAGGAGAAAAACATTAGGAAGCCACGTGGATATTTGGCCTTCCCTCCTTAAAAACCCTCTCAGTCATCTCCCCTGTGTGAATGCTGGAAACCCAGTTCCCACAGACACTCCTGGAGAATTTCTTTATCCAGTGCATGGGAATCACTCCAGGTCTTGGTATTGGAAATTAAGACCCAAGTTAGAACTTTATTCTATTTTTAAAAAATTTCTTTATTGATTAAGATATCACATATTTGTCCTCAACTCCCCATTCCATCCCCCCCACCCCCCCCAAACACACACACTCATGCCCCCATTAGGCTCATATGTATGCACATAAGTCCTTTGGTTGATCTCTCCCTTTTATCCCCACTCTCCCTTTGAGGTCCAACAGTCTGACCCATGACTTCTTATCTCTGGGTCTGGAACTTTATTCTAACTGACCCTGGTCATGGACAGGAGGTGAGAGAAGGAAAGTTCTAGCTTTCTGCAATGGGCTTCCATTGCCACCTCCCCTGATCATGAGCACCTGGCAAATCTGAGTGCACACTGGCCTCTATTTTGCCCCCAGAACGTCTGCACCAAGTGTGGGGTGGAGACCTCCAACAACCGCCCGCATCCTGTGTGGCTCTGCAAAATCTGCATCGAGCAGAGGGAGGTGAGTAGACGTGTCCTTTCTAGTTTCTAGAGCGCCCTTCCTTTTTGTCCAGTTCCCCCTTCCTCTCTAGAGCCAGGGAGACAGGGTGGCAGGTGGGAGCTGGAGAACCCAGGCAGGGATGTGTCTTAAGGGTTTGGTATAAAAGGAACCAGCTCAGCTGTGGCCACTGGCAGAACAGCCCCTTTGTGTTTGAGTGAATTTCTTTTCCTTTCCAGTTCTGTGACTTTTCTCTTCCTAGTAATAGGGATCAGCACACCACATTTAAGAGCTGGAAGACTTGTTGTCTAGTCTTTGTCCTTGTATGGTCTGGCTGTGAAGCCTTATACTAGCTCATATCCTCTGAGGTTCAACTTTCTCTATTAGAAAATGGGTGTACTCAGGCCCTCTCTGTTGAGTGGTCAGGGACATTGTGGGGATCAAATAGAAATTCTGAAAGGCTGCATACTGGTGAGAATAGTGTGCTGGCTGTTGTGTCCATGTGCTTAGGTGAGGGAGGAAAGTTAAAAGCTGGCACTCGTGAAGGCAGGAGCAATATGTTTGGCTGCCATGTCATCATCCTCTCCCTCTCCTCCCCAAGGTGTGGAAGCGTTCTGGAGCCTGGTTCTTCAAGGGCTTCCCCAAACAGGTCCTCCCACAGCCTATGCCTATAAGGAAGACAAAACCCAAGCAGCCTGACACTGAGCCCGCTGTCCCAGAGCAGCCTACCCCCGAACCCAAGCACCCTGTCCGGGCTCCAACTCAAGGTAGGACAAAACAATTTGTTCTTTCAGGATCAAGGACAGCTCTCAGCTAACTGGTCTACCTGGAGAATGTCCTGATATGTTTGTGTTTCTCTACCAAGTGGATGGACAGGCAGTCTCTGGGTTTGGGTCTGGGAATCCTATGTCCCCTTCACAGCTCACCATGAACCCTTATGAAGAAGATAGTACAGAGAACTCGTCAACAATGTCCGGCATTTTTGGTGGAGTATTTAGAGGCACAGCAGAGGTGAAAATTAAAATTAGGAGCAAAGATAATATATAATCATCACAGCCAAACTACACACTGGAGCCTGGGGGCATTTGGGGCTTGCTGAGAGGCCTTCCTCACTCCTGATATTTCTTATATCCACCATCAGCAAATCTGAAATTGGACTAATTAAAATGGAAAGTTGAATAGAAAGGAAATTAGTAAAAGAAAATTATCACTACTATGGATACTATCACTATCATCCAAGTATTATGATTAATTATTAAAATGATGATTAAAAAAGAGAGGCAAAAATATACAAAGAAAAAAGGCCACCACAATAAAAATACATTAATTGGATGAGGCCACTGGGACTGATCAGATAAAGCCCTTGCAGTAATTCCAATTAACACCAAGTGATCATTTTTGGATGACAACTCTGGAGTTGAGTGCAAGCAGTGCTTCTGGAAGGAAGGTCTCAAAAATTGAAGTGCCTGAACTTGTTTCCTATAAAATAACTTCTTAATGTTCCTGGTGCTGTGTCTGGCACTCAAAAGGCATCAACAAATACTTCCTGACAAAGGGAGCAATTTCTATCCCTTGCAGAGAATTACCAAATTGTCCATCTCCACTACATCCTGAGGAGCCCCAGTTTCTACCAATAGAGCATTCTTCTTCCTGCTTAAGCATTTCCCCCTCTAGGTCAAGAAGATTGTAGAGCATAACTGTCAAGATCATGGACATACTGTATGTCTGGCCGGTGTGGTTCAGTGGTTGAGTGCCAATCTATGAACCATGGAATCACGGTTCGATTCCCAGTCAGGGCACATGCCCAAATTGTGGGCTTGATCCCCAATAGGGGCTGTGTAAGAAACAGCTGATCAATGATTCGATCTCATCATTGATGTTTCTATCTCTTTGTCCTTTCCTCTCTGAAATCAATAAAAATGTTTTTTAATTAAAAATGAAAAGATCTGGGAATCTGAATTCCAGCTCTCCCACTGACCAGCCCTGTGAGCTTGGGCAAGTGTCCTAACCTCTCTGAGATTCATTCTTCATTTATGGGGTGGGGCAAAATAGATTTACAGTTGTGAGTGTGCGAAACACAGTTTATTAATTGTTTTACTGTTTTTCTCATAAACAACTGCAAACCTACTTTTGCCCCACCCTGTATAACATGGGGCAAATAACTCATTGGATTCATTTGAGTATTAAATAAACTATTACATGCCAAGTGTTTCACAGAGTGCAGCACTGAGTAAATGCTAACTGATAACATATAATGTTCATCGCCTGTGCCCAGACACATACACAGACACGTGTAAGTGGCATGAACTAGATAAGCTCTGGACAACACAGACCACTCTGGAAATGTGGTGGACATAACCCCTTTCACTTCCCTGGAGAGAAGTAACATCACCAGCATTGCATAGTGACGCTTAGAAAGTTATAGGAGTAACATCGGTGCTGGTGAATGAGGAGGCCGATACTCTCCAAACTATTGGCCCAGCCCCATGGTCGGCAAACCGCAGCTCTCGAGCCACATGCGGCTCTTTGGCCCCTTGAGTGTGGCTCTTCCACAAAATACCACGGCCTGGCCGAGTCTACTTTGAAGAAGTGGCATTAGAAGAAGTTTACGTTTAAAAATTTTGGCTCCCAAAAGAAATTTCAGTCTTTGTACTGTTGATGTTTGGCTCTGTTGACTAATGAGTTTGCCGACTGATGGTCTAGATTGTAAGTCACCTCCAGCCTTCTGGAATGTAATATGGCAGACTTTATTAAAATGGGGAATGTATGTACCATTTGATCCAGCAATCCCTCTCTGGGATTATATGGAATAGCAATCCAAGTACCATATAAAAGATATAGATATATTTGTTGCGTCATTACTTACGACAGCAAAGCACAGGAAGAGGTTCGTTAGTAGGGGATTGTTGACCGGACTGATATATCCACACCACACTATAGTGAGGATTATTGACAATTGAATGGTGTCAGTGTCCTTTATGGTTTTGGAATTATGTCCATCAGTGCTTTCGGTATTCTCTTAACAAACATTCACTGGGCACCGAAGGAGTTCCAGACTCTAATCTAAGCCCTGGAGAGAGAGAGAGTGGTGTTTGCAACAGATGAAGACCCCCGTCTTCATGCAGCTAAAATTCTGGTGGGGGAAACAGGTGCCAATGCAAACACAACCTAGTATCGGACAGTGGTAGGTGCTGGGGATGGATGCAGAGCAGGTAAAGGGGGCAGGCGGTGACAGGAGGCCCCATTCAAGGTCTTTGGGGAGACACATGACTGAAACAATAGCGAGGGCCCGAAGGATCTTTGGGACTGTGGTGTGCATGGGGCTTATGGTTGGAATGTGCTGGGTGAGTCCTGGGAAAATCGGGTTCAACGGGCAAAGCCCACCTAGAAGAGGATGTAGCCGGCGGTCCCAGTTTGGCCCGTCTTCAGCCTGTGTGCAATCACATTCTTGTGCAGACAAAGGAAACGTGTGAGATTGTAAAGGAAAGCTGTGTCAAAGGGCTGGTCAGGAGGGGAGAGTTTTAACGTTCAAGAGCCCTTGGGAGGGGAGCATGGGCCCTTTTGGGGACCCGCTTACGTAGTGGCTCTCCTGCACCAGACAAAGCAGCTTCCCATCCCTGTTCTCCCTCTCCAGGTGACACCGAAGACAGGAGGGGCCCAGCTCAGAAGCCAGGCCCTGAGCTGGCCACTGCGCCTGGCCGAGGAAGCTATGGGCCTCCAGTGCGCAGGGCCTCTGAGGCACGAATGAGCTCCGCCAGCCGGGACTCGGAGGGCTGGGGCCACGGCCATGGCGGGGCAGCCGGGGACTCCAGCCGGAGCCCAGCAGGTGAGAGAGAGTGGGAGGCAAATCCGGGCAGGCTTCCTGGATGAGGAGAATCAGAAGGAATGGGGAGGGGAGTGTTTTTACTCATGTATCCATTCGGTGCTTATTGAGCACCTACTGTGTGCGGTGTTCAATGCCAGATGCTTGTTCTAGCCTGTGGTGGAGGAAAGAGAGGACTCAGAAATGATTCTGACTCCAGACATCCAACATTTTTGGTTACATCCTTTTCTCACTCTAATGCCCGCATTTCTTTTGTAGCGAGGTCATCAGACTGCCTCTGAGTAGATGGGCTGAATATCAGTCCCCTCGGGGACCCCTGGCCTTCTCTTTCTGAATAGGGGGTTCGTGGCATAGCATCCCAGTTCCGCCTGGCAGGAGAGCTGGGGAGCAGTATCTGGTGGTCTCCAGCAGACTCTGGAGACCGCCTGCCTGAGTTCTAACACTGGCTCTGCCGCAGACCAGCCGGCAGACATTGATGAACTCCTTAGCCTTGTTGGGCCTCATTCTCCCCATTTATAAAACGGGCTGTAGAGATTAAGTTTCTCATATGTAAAGTCCCTGGCACATGGTAAGCATCAAATAAATGATAACTAATACTTATCAAGTAGCTCCTGAAGTTCAGAGATGGGGAGTGACCAGCCCAGAGTCACACAGCTTACAAAAGAGCATGCTCGGATGCAAAGTTAGGTCGATGTGAAGATAGAGACCCGATTCTTTCAAGAACAATACAATAATACCAACACCTGACATATGTTGAGTGTTTACTACACGCTCTGAGCACTCTGCAGGCATTGCATCATCGCATCACCACCATACACAGTACGGTGGGTACTGTCATCCTATTTAACAGACAAGGAAACTGAGGTCCAGGGTGGAGAGGCCATTTGTGCGAGGTCATACAGGTGGAAGCGATATCACAGAACCTGAGCTTTTTCAACATCCGGGTGCCTGGCCCAGGGGGTCTGAGTATTGGAAAGAGCGAACCCCTTCAGAGGCAGAGAGGTCAGAAGGAGCTGAGGGTGGAGGGGGATTGTGTTCAGACCCAGAAGGCCTTGCTCTATGCTGGCTGCCCGGTCCCCACTCTTTTCTGCTTCCACTGTGTGTGCATGCAACATGGTGGCGGCTTCCCTTTCTCTCTCCCGCAGGCTTGAGACGGGCCAACTCAGTCCAGGCCTCCAAACCCGCCCCAGCCTCGACGCCGAGCCAGGCACCTCCTCAGCCCGGGCAGCCAGGTACTTGCCTCCCACCAGGCCACCCCGGCTGTCACATCAGTCAGCGGTGACCCCAATTCCCCCCATCCTTGCTGGCAGATCCCCGGCTCTCTGCAAAGCTGCAGCCACCGCCACCGAGTCCTAAGCTTCTCTAAGTCCCTTAGAATGAGTGATCCTTGGGCTGGGGGACCGGGGATGGGGGGACATGGGCGGGCAGAGTACCCAGCTGAGTGCAGGAAGGGGCAGCCCTTCATCCTCAGCATTGCCTGCCTTCGGCGATGGTCGCTCCACAGGCACAGTTTTTACCACACACACCCTCAGCCTACCCTCTTACGTTCCTGATCTTTCTTCACACGGACTCACTCTGCAAGCATGGCTCAGGGCCTGCTACCGCAGACTCTCTCGAGGGGAATGTGAGGCCACGGGGCTGTAATAAAATGGCACACGTCCCCAGGAGGGTTGTGTGAGCTTCAGGGAGCAGTGGTAAGCAGAGAGATTAGGAACGTGGGGAAATCTGACCCCCTGTGGCTGTGGAAGACAAAGGTAATGATGTCTAATTGGTGCAGGGCGGGCTTGGTTAGTTTAAAAGAAACCTATGAAGATGGCATCAATGGAAGCCAGTGCTCCGTACTATAGGGAGAGTGTGTGAGAGCACCCCACCCTGGGTGGTGTAGAGTAACAGAAATGGGTGGTCTCCCCATTCTGGGGGCCAGAGGTGTTGGCAGGGTGGACTCCTTCTGACGCTGTGAGGGAGGGTCTGTTTCCTTCCTCTTAGCTCCTGGAGCCTCGGGCATTCCTGGGCTTCTAAATGACGCCCTCCCTGTGTCTCCCATGTCTTTCTTCTAAGGATGTCTCTCTCTCTCTCTCTCTCTCTCTCTCTCTCTCTCTCTCTCTCTCTCTCTCTCCCTTTCTCTCTCTCTCTCTCCAAACTTCTCTTTTATGTACATTGAGTAACCAGATTAATAATCTGGCCACTCAGAGTATATCTTATATAATAAAATGCCAATATGCAAATTATCCCCTCAACCAGGAGTTTGACCAGCAGGCAGGCCGGCCAACCGCCCATGTCCCCTCCCCCTGGCCAGGCTGGCCGGACCCCACCCATGCACAAATTCAGACACCGAGCCTCTAATACACACACACACACACACACACACACACACTCTGAGTGGCCAGATTATTATGCATTCAGAGATCATAATAATCTGGCCACTCGGTGTACATATATATTATTAATTTCAGAGAGGAAGTGAGAGGGAGAGAGAGAGGAACATGAATGAGAGAATCATGGATCAGCTGCCTCCTTCACGCCCCCTACTGGAAATCAAGCCCATAACCCTGGCATGTGCCCTGACAGGGAATCGAGCCATGACCTCCTGGTTCATGGTGGATGCTGAACCACGGGAGCCACGCCGCCTGGGCCAAACCCCTCCTTTTGATAAGGACACAGTCCTATAGATTAAGGCTTATATGCCCCAATGACCTCATCTGAACGTGACCATCTGCAAAGACCCTCTTTCCACCTGAGGTCACACTCACAGGTGCTGGGAAGCAGGGTTTGAAGATCTTTATCTTTTTTTTTTTTTTAAACATATTTTATTGATTTTTAACAGAGAGAAAGGGAGAGAGATAAGAGCTAGAAATGTCGATGAGAGAGAAACATCGACCAGCTGCCTCTTGCACACCTTCTACCGGGGGATGTGCCCACAACCAAGGTACATGCCCTTGACCGGAATCGAACCTGAGACCTTTCAGTCTGCAGACCGACGCTCTACCACTGAGCCAAACCGGCTTCGGTGGGTTTGAAGATCTTTTAGGGAACACAGTCAAACCCACGGCAGAGGATAATGATTTAAATGAAAATTAAATAAGGCAACGAAATTCTCCTGCCTCTGGCCCAGGGAGATTCTGAGCCTGGGGCCTGTCCCCTTTTGTTCAAAAGGAAAACCCACCAAGTTCAGAGAGGTGCCAAAGCCAGAGGCACCCTCCAGTGAGACTTCCTCAGGGGGTCATGCTGAAAGGCGAGGGAAGCCTGGGTGCTCGCATGGTGGTGGTGACTGTTATTCCCTACCCATCCCTGACTCGTGAAGAATCCACTGGGTCAGCAATGACCCCACAGCACCGATGGATTCAAAGTGTAAACGTGCCCATCACCTCACACACAATTCTCACTCCATTCCTTTATCAGCCTCATAGCCAGTGAAACGTGAAAAGACCCTTAGACTGAGTGATCTAAGGCATTCTTAGCCCATTTCAGAGAGGAGAAAGCTGAGGCACAGGAAGGAAACGTTGGGGCTTGAACCCAGGCCTTCCTGACTCCAGAATCCTCCTAGGGACTGTTCCTGCAGCCCCAGGTCCCGCTGCACATGACCTGTTACCCCTGGGCCTGTGTCCGTGACCAGGTAATGAGGGGGACAGGGGAAGGACACTACAATGACGCCACCTTCTCTGCTCTCTCTCCTCTCCTCTCTCCCCTCAGCGCCCCCTGGAGGCAGCAGGCCCGGCCCTGGGCCAGCAGGACGCTTTTCCGACCAGAGACCAGGCAAGTGCTCTCTGCTTCCCATTGCCTGTTCATGTGACCACCTCTCTCCCACGTCTCCACGCGAGAGCAGGGGCTGCCTGATCTCGGCCCAGCCTTCCCTCCGAGACCTCCCAGATGAGCTCCAAGGCTCCCCACCCCGATTCCAAAATGAGAAAACGACCACACGTGGAGCGATGGGGAGCACACCCTGCCGGGATCCAAATCCCTGCTCCTTCGCATCCCAGCTGTGTGGCCCGGGGCAAGTCACTTCACTTCCCTGAGCCTCGGTTTCCTTATTTCTAAAGTGGGAATAATACTAGCTTCCGTGACTGCTGTGAGGATGAAACAGACTCATAGACATAAAACCTTAGCACGTGGCCTGGAGTGTTGAAGACCACGCGAAGCGACAGTGACTGTTACATGAGATATATGTGCCTGGTCACCATCACACTCATCGCTGTGGCTACCGCGTAGTCACTGCTTCCTGGTGCGCCAGCTATGATTTTTGTATATGCATTCGGTAGTTTTTAAAAATAATAGCTACTACGGGTTGAGTGACTTCGGTGTGATAATTCCCATTTTACAGATGAGAAAACTGAGGCTCAGAGACATTAAGTAATGTGCCCTCTATCACACAGCAGAGGTGCGAGCCCAGGCTCTCTGGCTCCAGGGCCCACACCACTGACCAGTCCCCCTTTGAGGTCTGTTTTGCCTGCTTCTGATTAAGCTTGTGGGGCTTGTTATAAAATTTGGACTTCAGGGCCCCACTGCATGGGCTACTGATTCTGCGTGGGGCCCAGGCAGCTGCATTTTGCAAGCTCCCCTCGGTGGTTTTGGCAAAGACAGCCTTCTGAGAACCAGGGAACGGCACAGTGTGGCCGCCCTGTCAGCTGGAGGCAGTAATTCTGTGTTGCAGGGCTGTGGTATACAGTCGGTGCTCATCACTCACACTCATGCTGTAGCCATTGCTGCTGCTGTCATGGTAACACAGGGACTCAGATGCCGCTTCCTGCCCTCTCTCTGTCTCCCCTGCAGACGCGGCCCCCAGCGACCTCTGCTATCCGGGGGCCTCCATCCCACCCTGGGAGGAGCGATTAGGAGCCGGAGCCAGGGAGGACCGGGCGGGCCACCCACCAGGCCCTTATTCCCAAGCGTCTGCTGCCGCCCCCCAGCCCGTCGCCACCCCTGCCCGCCAGCCCCCGCCCCCGGAGGAGGACGAGGAGGAAGCCAACAGCTACGACTCGGATGAAGGGAGTACGTGGCCTTAGGGGAGGGGGTCTGGGAAAAGCCCCTTCAGGGTCACCCCCGAGGGACATGGGATGGCTCCAGGGGTGTGGCCCTAGACACCATCCCAGCTCCACAACATGCCAACCATGATCGGTGCATTCACCCCGTTATAAAGATACAAGCTTGTATTGCTGTCTTCACAACATGACATCAACTTACTAAAATATAGGAGCTGCCTATTTTCTTATTGTGATAAAATAGCTGTAACATCAGACTCACCCTGTAACGCATTGTAAAGAGTGCAATTCGGCGATATTCGAGTGGTACAGTTTGGTAGATCATGGAATTATCACGTGACCAGCGTCCACTCCTAGGTGTACTTACCTGTGCGTTTTAGTAGTTCCAAAACTCTCTAATGCGTGTCTTCAAAGAGCGAATTTTTAAACCATTTTAAAATTTCTGGATGTTTCTTTTTGCATCCATGCAATGAGGGATGTATGAAGTGCCCGCTCTATGCCCCTCCCACTGAGACCTGAGCCCTAGGGACACACACACACATACACACACACAGAGATACACATAAACACATATATACACACATACACACACAGAGAGATGCACACACATACAAACACAGAGATATACACACACAGATACACACAGAGAGAGATACACACACATATATACACACAGATACACACACAGATACACACACAGATACACACACAGATACACACACACACATACACACACATACACACACACACACACACACATGGCCCGAGAGCTCGCGGTCAGGCGGAGAGATTGGATCTGCTTAGATGGACCGAGGGCTGTGAGCGGTGGCATGGCTTTGGCCCACGATGTCACCCCTTCTCACTGTAAAATGAGGAGCAGAATCCTGCCTCCTAGGGGGGACCGAGGAGGGTACACTGAGGCACCCCCTGGGAGCGTGCTCGGTGAGCTGGAACCACTGTCATTTTAGTGCCACGCACACAGGAGGCGCTGGGGTCAGGTAACGCGCACACCGGAGGGAGCAGTCGGCGCCTGTTTGGTGCCGGGCATGTTTCCGAGTGTGTTCTGGGCGCCTGCTCCTGTGACCTTATCCCGGGGCCTGGGCGGAGCTGCTTTTGCTTCTCCTGTTTCACAGGGAGGAGACAGAGACAGAAACTCCGGGGCTCGGGGACCTGGCTGAGAAATCACAGCCAGGGAGGAGAGGGCCTGCTGGTCCATCTCCCCGCTGCCTGCATCAGAGGCCAGAGCCAGCGAGAGGCCAGCTGTCCCTTCCCCATCCGTGCTCCCTCGGGGGCCTTCAGGCCTGAGTCTCCCTCTCTGTGTGGGCTTCGTGCTTAGTCCAGACAGGGCACAGAGTCAGCGCTCGGGGAATGTTTGTTGAATGACTGAATGACTGACCTCTTGGTTCCTGCCTCCGCCCCCTCCAGCCACCCTGGGCGCCCTGGAATTCAGCCTTCTGTACGACCCGGAGAACAGCTCCCTGCACTGCACCATCATCAAGGCCAAGGTGGGTGAGGGGCTGGGCTGGGACCCCAAGGGCTGCTCTGGCTTCTCCGGGGGACTCAGGGGGGACACGGGTCCCCAGGCTCCTGCCCGGCCTGTCAGTGGCAGGGACAGTGATGAGAAAAAGGCAGGCATTAGCTACAGCCCAGACTGGGGGGGAGGACTCCCCCCGGAGATGGTCTCAGAGGGTCATCTCTGCGCGCGGGAGCAGAGGCAGCCGGGCCACCAGGGCAGAGCTCCAGCCTCGATGGAGCCCTCACCATGCGCCAGGCACGTCACAGGGGAGATTGTGTGCACGTCTCACCCCTCCACGAGGCAGGATTGTTCTCGTCCCATTTGACCCTCGAGGAACCTGAGGCTCAGAGAGGCTGAGAAACTCACCTGAGGACACACAGCCAGGAAGTGGCGTGACCAGGCTTGGAGCCCCGTCTGCCTGATGCCGGGGCTCTTTTCCTTCTCTCTCTTCGCAAGAGGGAGCACACGGGGTGGACCGACGAGCAGGACGGCGGCCGGGGCTGTGGCCGGGGCCCTGGCAGCTGCGTGGCCGGCCCTCACACCGCTGCCTTTTCTCTCGCAGGGACTGAAGCCCATGGACTCCAACGGCCTGGCCGATCCTTATGTGAAGCTGCACCTCCTGCCTGGAGCCAGCAAGGTACCATATGGCCCGGGCCTCTCGGCAAGCCAGGAACACGGGCCCTGGCAGGCACCCAGGGATCCTAAAATAGCCCACCTGCCCCCAAGCCCCGCCCTCCCTGCGTGGCCAAATCCTCGCAAGGGGTGAGAGGTGGGCTGGGAGTCACTCTCCCTCAGAGGGCATGGGCTCTGTCCGTTTCTCCAACCCAGAACCCCGAAACCCAGGAGCTTCCGAAGGCCAGGGGAGAAGCGGATGCCCCCAGGATGCCCTCACCGGCTCACCCCCCCCCCCCACCCCGTGGCTCCCAGGGCTGACCACGGCCCCCCTCCCTCTCCTCCTCCCCATCCTCCTCCCCCTCCTCCTCCCCTCCTCTTCCCATTTTGTGCCCCAGCCAAACCCTCCCCATCTCTCAGGAGGAAGGAATCCCTCTCTTTGGATTTCAGGGCCATGTGCCTGCAATAACACTCTGTTCCCGAGAGAAATGCGCCCCCTCTCCCCCTGCAGCTCCCTGGCCATCACTCTACCCCAGGGAGGAGACGTGGGGTTCGGCCTGCTCAGAGGGGTTTGCTTTGTCCTTTTGATGTGGGTGTGCTCAGTACAAGTGGGACCGTGCACTTGGTGGCATGATCTTAGCAAATGGCACGTTAAAAATCTCTGCGAGTGTTACATGCCCCTTAAGATGAGAGAGGACACACACACACACACACACACACACACATACACCACACACACACACACACACACCACACACCACACCATACACCACACACGTACACACACACACACATGTGCACTCACAGACACACACACACACACACACACACACACACCACACCACACCACACACCACACACGTACACACACACACACATGTGCACTCACAGACACACACACACACACACACACACACAGTCTCCCATTGGCCATGGCCACACTGCAAAGTGTTCGACCACTTCTTCTAACGCCCTGGTGACACCGGCCTCCCCGTAAGGCTCTCTCCTTTGCTCACTCCCAAATCCAGGCTTGCTTTGCCAAAGAATCCAGGGACTCATGCCAGTCCGAATTAGATCTCACCAGGCCATCTCTTCTGGCTTAGTGCATTTCTAGCCTTCTCTCTTAAAGAGAAAAACTCTGTCTCCCCTCTCCCTGCCCCCTCACATAGTTCAGGCACGAAGGATGCTGTTTGGGGAAACCTAAGGTATCCTCCCAGGATCCCTAGACATTGTTCCTTCGCTGCCGAGGAGCAGGGGACCCTGATCTCTGCCTCCCTGACCTATAAATGTTTTTCTCAAAGGAAAATGTCTTATTTTTTTATTTAGTTATTATTTAGTTATTGTTTTTTCTTTCTTATTTAGTTATTATTTTTTAAATCCTCACCCGAGGATATTTTTTCATTGATTTTTAGAGAGAGTGGAAGAGAGAGAGGGAAAGACAGAGAGAAATATCGATGTGAGAGAAACGCATTGATTGGTTGCCTCCTGCACGATCCCCGGCTAGGACCCGGGCCTGGGAGAAGCCTGCAACTGAGGTACATGCCCTTGACTGGAATCGAACCCAGAACCCTTCGGTCTGCAGGCTGACACTCTATCCACTGAGCCAAACTGGCTAGGGCCCTTTCTTTTCCTTTTTGTAATCCTCACCTAGGATATATTTTTCCATTGCTTTTTCAGAGAGAGTGAAAGGGAGGGAGGGAGAGAAACATCTATGTGAGAGGGACACATCAATTGGTTGCCTCACGCATGTGCCCTGACTGAGGACGAGGAGAGAACCCACAGTCCAGGTACACGCCCTTGACTGATATCGGACCTGCTGACGCTCTTACCACTGAACACCACCAGCCATGGCACTGCTTTTTAATCCTAATGGGAAGTTCAAAGAGAGAGCCTGCTTTGGAGGGAGGGGTGGCTCAGCGTCCAGCCCCGTTGGTGGTGGCTTCACCCTGAAGAGGCCCCCCGCTCCCTGAGACGTGCCTTTGGGAGCCCCTGAGCTCCTGGGCACTCCGAAAGGGAGTGTCTCCTAAGTCACTCCTCCTACCCCCACCCCAGATCAGCCCCGAGGGGGTGACTGCAGGGCTGGCCCCCCACTGAGGCTGTGTCTGTCTGTCTGTCTGTCTGTCTCTGGGCTCTAGTCCAACAAGCTTCGGACAAAGACCCTGCGGAACACCCGGAACCCCGTCTGGAACGAGACCCTCGTCTACCATGGCATCACGGACGAGGACATGCAGCGCAAGACCCTCAGGTACCGGCCGGCGGGCGCGAGGGGCGGGGCTGGCGGGTTGGCACGTGTGTGCGGGTCACACGTTAAAACCTGTCTGCATAGTGTCTTTTTTTTTTTTTTTTTTTTTTTTTTTTACTTCTACGAAACCATATGTATTTCTGGTAGGAACTTCTAAAAATACAAATAAGTGAAACTTCTTAAAATTTTTTTTATTAAGGTATTATATGTGTACATATCTTTCCATTACCCGCCCTCACTCCCATACATGCCCTCCCCCCGAGTTTTTCGTCCATTGGGTTTGCTTATAGGCATGCATACAAGTTCTTCGGTTGATCTAAATGAAACTCTTTATTTTTTAAGTATATTTTATTGATTTTTTACAGAGAGGAAGGGAGAGAGATAGAGAGCTAGAAACCTCGATGAGAAAGAAACATCGACCAGCTGCCTCTTGCACACACCCCACTGGGGATGTGCCCACAACCAACGTGCATGCCCCTGACCGGAATGGAACCTGGGACCTTTCAGTCCGCAGACCGACGCTCTACCACTGAGCCAAACCGGTTTCGGCCTACGTGAAACTCTTAATGTCTTGGTGCCTGGGCATCTGGGGGGTGTGAGTGTGTGTGTGTGTGTGTGTGTGTGTGTGTGTGTCTATGTGTGCTTGCAAAAGTTTCTTATGAAATCAAGTGCTTTAAAAAAATAGACCATCATGCCAAGCCGGTGTAGCTCTGCAACTGAGCATCGACCCAGGAACCAAGAAGTTGCCAGTTTGATTTCCAGTCAGGGCACATGCCCGGGGGGTGGGCTCCATCCCCCATAGGGCGTGTGCAGGAGGCAGCTGACCATGACGTTTCTACTTCGTTCATGTGTTTACTTCTCTCTCCCTCTCCCTTTCTCTCTCTCTCAAAAAAAATAAATAAATAAAATCAGTGAAAACATACTTTTAAAAATGGACCGTCCTGTTAATCAGGCTGTTTTAACCATATGTGGATGCATCTTATCTTCTACAATGTTGTCTCGCACTGCGTTTTAAATTGTATTCGTGATACAGGATACATTCAATGTAGACTATGATAGAGGAAGGAACCCCCCCCCCCCTTCCGTTAGTCCCCGCCCCCCGCCGGGGTCGGCATCCTCCCTCCGCCAGCACGTGCATTCTCAGATCCGTGTTGGCACCTTGGACAGTTCCATGCTGTGCATCCGGAACCTTCCTTTTCTCTTAGCGATCTGTCTTAGAGTCATAGCCACGAGGAACATTTAGATCTCCATCATTTTCACTGCTTCAGCGTTTTCCACAGAATGGATTGATTACAGATTTTTTAAAATGTGTTCATGAATAAATATTACAAATACACAGAAAACTGTAGATTATAATGGAACAAACATCCATGAACCCACTACTCAATCTTTTTTAAAAAAATCTTCACCCAAGGGTATGTTCTTATTGATGAGAGAGAGAGAGAGAGAGAGAGAGAGAGAGAGAGAGAGAGAGAAACGCTGATCAGTTGCCTACCATACAGGCCCAACCAGGGGTCAAACCCACAACCTTTTGGTGTACAGAGTGACTCCAACCCACGGAGCCCCCTGGCCCGGGCCTGGCACTCAGTCTTTAGGAAACAAACACACGCCTGGCCTTGTGCTCCACAAATAGGAAATGGAAGCGCTACCATGCACATTACACGTTCGTGGCCAGCATCCCTCACAGCTCTTTTTCTCTCCCCACCCTTTCTGGGGACCGCAGGATCTCTGTCTGTGATGAGGACAAATTTGGCCATAACGAGTTTATCGGTGAGACCAGATTCTCCCTCAAGAAGCTGAAATCCAACCAAAGAAAGAACTTCAACATCTGCCTCGAGCGCGTGATCCCGGTGAGTGCCTCCCCCTGGGGGTGCGATGGGGGCGGGAAAGAGCTCTGGGGGTGCTGCCTCCCTCGGGGCCCGCAGGGTGCCTGCCAGGACAGCCGCTGAGAGGGGCGTGAAGAATTCAGGCCAGAGCTTCCGCGTGGTGTCCCGTCCCTGCCTCTGACCAGCCCGCGGCCAGCATCACCTCCTCTCTGACCGTCAGAGTCCTCTGCGGTGACCTTGGGGCGGGCGGAGTGGTGAGGCCGTGTGGCCGGCCCGGGTTCAAAGCCCAGGTCTGCTACTCTCCCCTGCTCCCTGGCCTCGGCCAAGGGTCTGAGCGGCTCTGAGCCTCAGCTCTCCTTGTCTGTCCGTGGGCGTGATAACAGGACCTGCCTCGTGGGGAGTCTGCGTGAGAGACACAATCAGAACAGAACCTCCGATCCTTAGAGAGCACTCATAAACGGTTACCTGCTGTTCTTACAGGAGTAATACTGCCTGGCCCACCTGTCACTCATGAAGGCAGGAAGCCCCGTGCGGATGAGCAGGGGAGCGGGATAGCTCAGTGCTTGAGAGCGCAGACTCTGGACCCAGAGTCCTTGGGTTCGAGTCCTGGCTCTGCCACTTGTCATAGAACCCGGGCCAACTTAACTCAGCTTCCTGGGGCTCTGGTTTTCCATCTGTAAACCAGGACGTTATCAGAGTATCCATTCCCTCAGGGCTTTTAAGGATTCATGGGAGAGTACTCGTAAAGCTTGAGGACTTTCTTGTTAGACGTGCTTCTGGCCCCTTGAGAAGGAATAAAAACCAACTTGAGGTTCTCCAATGGGGCTACAGCTCAGAACCAATGGGAGATCCCGGCCTGGTGGGGCAGGGCGGGACCAGCCATCTGTACGTTCAGACATAATCCAACCTGCCCTTTGCGGCACGAAGGCCACCTCGGGCCCAGAGAGGGGAGTGTGCTGCCAAGGTCACGCCGTGAATCCGGGGCCGTGCTCCCGGGCAGCCAGAGCCCGGGTCTCCCGCGCTGCCAGCGCACCAGCCCCCAGGCAGAGGGCCAGCTGCCCACGGGGAAGCCGTGGCAGGCCGAGGGGGAGCCTATAGCAACCTCCCCCAGGTGCCTGGCCCGGGCACGGAATACCCGTGTGCCACGCCATGTGCACATGTGTGTGTGTGTGTGTGTGTGTGTGTGTGTGAGATATGGCTGGCCCGAGCACGGAATACCGTGTGCCATGCTGTGTGTGTGTGTGTGTGTGTGTGTGTGTGTGTGTGAGATATGGCTGGCCCGAGCACAAAATACCCGTGTGCCATGCTGTGTGTGTGTGTGTGTGTGTGTGTGTGAGAGTGATATGGCTGGCCCGAGCACGGAATACCCGTGTGCCACGCCGTGTGTGTGTGTGTGTATGTGTGATATGGCTGGCCTGAGCACGGAATACCCGTGTGCCTTGCTGTGTGTGTGTGTGTGTGTGTGTGTGAGATATGGCTGGCCCGAGCACGGAATACCCGTGTGCCATGCCATGTGTGTATGTGTGTGTGTGTGTGTGTGAGTGTGTGTGTGTGTGTGTGAGATATGGCTGGCCTGAGCACAGAATACCCGTGTGCCATGCTGTGTGTGTGTGTGTGTGTGTGTGTGATATGGCTGGCCCAAGCACGGAATACCCGTGTGCATGTGCTGTACATGTGTGTGTGTGTGTGTGTGTGTGTGTGTGTGTGAGATATGGCTGGCCCGAGCATGGAATACCCGTGTGCCGCGCCGTGTGTGTGTGTGTGTGTGTGTGTGTGTGTGGCACAGGCGAAGGAACCAGACCCAATGAGGAAAGCCACAAGGAGGAGTGTTCACCGGACGCCAGGCTCCAAAGAAAACTCAGAGGACGGCCAGGGAGGGCACATTTCCTCTGGGCTCAGCCCAGGAACAGCGGCTCCTCAGCTCCCGCTTCCTTCCTGCCCTCAAGGGGTCCAGGTGGCCAGGACAGTGGCCAGGCCACCGCCTGAGCTGCCCGCTCCTGGGCCTGCCCGTCCTGCTGTGATGGATGCAGCTGGCCCTGGTTGTGTGGGGCTGGCAGGACGATGGACAGAGGCCATGGTGGCCACGGACCTCCCTGATCATCCTCCTTCACTCTGCGCCCTCTGCTCCCCACCACCAACTTTCCCCGTGGCCCCACCAAGGCCAGGGGCCACATCGGGGCTGTGCCTCCCTCCCCCCGACCTCAGTCCTCCTCATTTGTAAAGTGTGAGGTCATCTTTAACCAGCTGTCTTCACGCTGTGTTCCCCGGAGCATCGGTCTGTTTGCCGCTCCGTTGACTCATGAGTTTGCCGACCACTGGGAGAGGGGCTTCATCACAAGGAACAACAGCAGCCTGTAATGATTGGGATCGAGAGTCTAGGTCAGTGGTCGGCAAACTCATGAGTCAACAGAGCAGCAACCTGCGGCTCGAGAGCCGCTGTTTGCTGACTGACCACTGCCCTAGAGCCTTAGAGTCCCCCCCAAAGGACCTTAGGAGCTTCAGGGGAAGAAGCATGTGCTGGCCCGACCCCAGGCCCCCTGTGCCACGGCCATGGCCACGGCCACCGAGCAGATCAAATCCTGCCGGTTTTATGCACGAGCGCTCTGCCGCTTCTTGGCTGTGCGGCCTGGGGCACGGGGCTTAACAACCGTGCCCTCCACTGTAAAATGGGGCAATGCATACCGCCTGCATCACAGGCACTAACACCGTCTGTCAGTGGTTCCTGTTATGCAGACTTTAGCTGAAAGGGAGAAAGCTGGATGCTCTGAAAACCTGTCCTCCTGGCTCTGATGCTAACGGAGGGGTGGGGCAACTTGTCCTTGCTGTGGAGGGAGATGGGAGATGAGTCCCACAGACGACGTTACATGTCCTTTCTGCTTCCTTCCAGATGAAGCGCGCCGGGACCACCGGGTCCGCCCGCGGCATGGCCCTCTATGAGGAGGAGGTGAGCACCGAGCGATGTGGACGCCCCAATCGGGGGCCGGCCCCTCCCTCTTCTTTCCTCCCCGGCCCCACCCCTGCTCTTTCTCGCAAACCCCCCTGCCTGCTGGTTCCCGTGAGAACTGCCTTGCTCACGGCGTTAGGATATGACAGCAGGTGGAGTAAAACCAGTGGTTCATGTTATGCAAACTTTACCTGCGCCCAGACCAGTCCCCAGGGCTGTCCCCTTGGCCACACCCGGAGCCCGAGGTCAGGGAGGCCCCATCCTCTCCCACAGGGACAGCCTTGAGTTGGCCTCGTTGGCAGAGGCCCTGCGGTGCTTCTGCAGGACGGAGCCGTGCCACCTCTCTCCGTGGGGATGGATGGACGGAGGCTCTTTGAGCTCTGGGTGCCCAGGCCCCTCAGGCTGGGTCTCTGTGCAACCCCAGGGACCACATTCTATCAGGGGAGTCAGGGATCAGGCCAGGCCAGGGTCAAGGCTCAGTCCTGGGTCAGAGTTGGGGCAGTCACTGACCAGGATCAAATTCTACCTGTGTCTCTGTTGAAGTAAAACCACGGACCTGTGCCCAGACCAGTCCCCAGGGCTGTCTGTCCCCTTGACCCTCCGCATCCGCCCCTCCCTAGAGGTCGGGATCCGCTGTCCATGGTGCTGACGGCACTAGCGCTGGCCCAGCTCCTCCCTCTGCCCACGGCCCTCCCCTAAGGCCCCCATCCAGGGGCTTGGCCTGCTCCCCTCCGGGCTCACGCGCCCTCTCCTCCTCTTGCAGCAGGTGGAGCGCATCGGAGACATAGAGGAGCGCGGCAAGATCCTGGTGTCACTCATGTACAGCACCCAGCAGGGAGGCCTCATCGTGGGCATCATACGCTGCGTGCACCTGGCCGCCATGGACGCCAACGGCTACTCGGACCCGTTCGTCAAACTGTGAGTCAGTGCCTCGGGACCGTGAGTGGGCCCCAGAGGGGGCTCTAGGTCCTGGCAAATGGGGAGCCAGAGAGCTTCCCTGAGACTGTTGTACGTTGAGGCCCAGAGAGGGAAACGAGCCTGCCCACGGCCACACAGCGAGACAGAGGACAGAACCGGCTGACGTGTGAGGCTGGAGTCCCACAGTCACACGGTGTGTCATGCGCCCCTATGAAAGGTTTGTGACTGTTCCCTCCTGTGGCGAGGTCACAGTCACCCCATTTGCAGCCCCTCAGAATGAGCAACACGCACCTCCAGCCGTCCAGAGCCCCGGGATCCGACAGGCAATCCGGCCTTTTTCCAGATTCAGGCTGGAAACGCTCCGATAAAAGGCCTTAGACTTCGGGGTGATTCCTGTGATCTCACTCTCCGTGGGGGAGAAAAGAGACTTTGTCATCTGTTAGTCGGGGTCCTCTGAGAAAAATCCGCGGTGGGATTACACAGCCGAGGATTTCATGAAAGGAAATGCTGGGTGAGGGGAGGCGGGAGAGTTGGGGTACATGGAGAGCTGTTAGAGAGCCCCAAGTCTGGCCCTAGTGAGGAGGGATGAGCAGGAGCTTCCTAGACACAAGTTCAGCAAGACTGTCAGGGAAGTCCTTAGGCCCCATGCCACCTCCCCTCCCTGGTCCCACCCCTGCAGAGTGGGCCTGCCAGAGTGTCCCCACCACATCTGGCTGTCAGCTGGGGGCGTGGGCGTGGCACCAACATGGCCTGGCTTCCAAGCCCAGCCGCTGGGGCCTGGGTGGGTGATGCCCCTGTAGTTGGAGGTCCACCAGGCACATTCTCATAGCGGCCCTCGAATCAGACATGAGGTTCAAACCCTCCCCTCCTCACCTCTGGAAACTGCTAGCTGTGTGACTCTAAGCAAGTTACTTAACTTCTCTGAGCCTCGGATTCTTCGTTGGTAAGGTGGAGACAATAGTTCCACTTATTTCCAAGAAGGAGCACGTCTACACACAGGGCCTCTCCCCTGGCGTTGGGGCCATCCGGGGGGTGATGGATGGTAAAATACCGGGCACAGCATCAGGGTCTCAATTTGGTCCTCTGAGAGCAAGTCCTGGCTAAGAGCACAGGCTCCAGATGCAGCAGCTGGGCTCAGCCCCTGCTGTGTGACCCGAGGCACCTGTCTCAACCTCTCTGGACCCTGAGTCTCCTTGTAGGTAAAGCGGGTGGCCGTGGTTCTGCCGTCCAGGGTTTGTGGAGGGACACGTGCACCTCAGGTGCTGAGTGCCGCGCCCAGCATCAAGCAGAGACTTGGAGGCATCCTGGTCATCGTTAACGCTGACTCACTCTCTCGTGTGTTCACCAGTGACCGCCCCGCCCCCGACACCGGAAGGAGCCTTTGGGGTCCTCCAGGGGCTGTTCTTACTCATTGAACTTCCACTCATAACAGCCTCTCGTGTCTCCCTTCAGCTGGCTGAAACCAGACATGGGGAAGAAGGCCAAACACAAGACTCAGATTAAGAGGAAAACCTTGAATCCTGAATTTAACGAGGTAAGGCTGCCCCGGTCTTGGTCGTGCTGTGGAATGTCAACGGCGTGAGCGTCGCACACACTCCCCGCCAGAATGCCATCGGGCACACCAAGACTGTGCTTCCTCTCATACACCAGCTTGAATGGTCTCGGGGAGAGGGGATGGGTTTCTTGTTCCTGGGAGGAATCAAGCCTAAGATGAACACCTGTCAACGAGGCATGCCATTGGCAGGAAGTGGAGTTTGAAGAGAGAATGAATGAAATCACCTCCAGTAAGGTCACCAGCTCTCACAGGCTGTAGTGCTGAAACCTGAGCAGATACATTAGAGTAGTGATGCCCGCTACCATCCACCCAGCGGGCGGCACCCTCTCCCTCCCTCCCTCACCCACCCAGCTCACCACACTGCCGTTCAGATGCTCAGCAAACAGCTCCTTCCTCCATGTTCTCCCTGCTGCTGCCTTGCCTTCGGCCCTGGTGTGTCACGCTAGGACTATTGCAGTAGACACCTCCCCCCCTCCCCCCGTCACCTCCACATGGGCTTTGTAAAACATGAATCTGAATGGGTCAGCCCCTTGCTTACAGTAAATAACCCAACAGTGACTCCCTAACTTCTTAGCACGACAGTCAAGCCCTTTCAAACCCACTTCTGGGATATCCCCACTTACTGGGATATCCCGGTAAGTCATCATGGGTGTACGCATGGTTTAGCCACAAGCGTGCCTCTCATCATGTCATTAATGATCATGAAAAATTGGAAACAGCCTAACTACGATGTAAGGCATTTCAATATAGTATGCTACATGAATATTTCACAAAACATAATATGTTCATGAATATTCATATTCGTTTTCTTTAAAACATGGGAAGCATGAGCACCTGTTGCCCATGCCGGCCTCAGTCCCCTCAGCTACCTGGGGTCTCTCAGTGATGGCGGCCAGGGAGGCCCACCCACGTGGAAGGCCTGAACCCACGGCCCTCGGCCTCCAGGGAAACTCGGCCGGGACCAGCTCTCTGGCAAACTCCACCCGCTTTCCCGGTCCTAACAGTCACTGCAAAGAGAATTGCAGGGCTCAGGAGATTCGTGATGCAGAGTATTTGTTGGAAAGGGATTGTCACGCCCTGGCTGGTATTGCTCAGTGGTTGGAGCATCGGCCCACACACCGAAGGGTCATGGGTTCAATTCCCGGTCAAAGGCACGTACTTCCGTTGCAGCCCTGGTAGGGGTGCATTTGGGAGGCACATAAATCTCTCTCTCTCTCTCTCTCTCTCTCTCTCTCTCTCTCTCTCTCTCTCTCTCTCTTTTCCCCTCCACCCCCCACCCTTCCACTCTATCTGGAAATCAATGGAAAGAGTATCCTCAGGTGAGGATTTAAAAAAGGAAGAAAGAAGAGGGATTGTCAGACCTGGAATAGAGGCTCAGAGAGGGAGGGCCCCCTTGTCCCCAGGACGCCTACTTCAGGGGCCTTCCTTGGTCCGTGAACCCCTTGAACTTGGCCTCTTAGCTCCTGATGCCAAAGGCTGGGGGACCCTCTCACTCACGCCCACCCCCCTCTCTTGCCTCCAGGAGTTCTTCTATGACATCAAGCACAGCGACCTGGCCAAGAAGTCGCTGGACATCTCGGTCTGGGACTATGACATCGGCAAGTCCAACGATTACATCGGTGCGTGCTCCCAGCTCCCCGCGAACCCTGCCTCTGTCCTCCCAGGCCTGCGGGGGGGGGGGGGGGGAGGGGGGAGGAGGGAGAGGGGGGGGAGAGTCCTCCTTTCTTGGCACCTGTCATCCAAACACTGAGTCAGAAACCACGGTCCCTGCTTGGGTCCAGTTTGAGAAGCGGTTACGTGAGAGAGCTCACGGAGTTGGGAAGATTGGGCCACGATTGGTTCTTTGCCGAACAGGTCGCCTCCGGCAGGATGGTTATATCACAGAGCACAGAGCCTGTGGCTTCGCAGAAAATGGGGTGCAAAGGATGTCTCCTTAAGCCATGTGCAAGTCCAGGGTGAAGGCTCTGATTTTCCCAGTCGGCCTCCACATACGGAGGAAGGACGGTCACTAAAGATGGATGGGGAGCCCGGCCAGTGTGGCTCAGTGGTTGACCAAAAAGCCATGCCAGTTTGATTCCCAGTCAGAGCACATGCTCGGGGTGTGGGCTCCATCCCCAATAGGGGGCGTGTAGGAGGCAGCCGATCCATGATGTTTCTCTCTCTCCTCTTGATGTTCTATCCCTCTCTCTCACTCTCTCTTTCTCTCTCTATAAAAAAAATCAATAAAAACATTTTTTTTTCTTAAAAAAAAAAAAAAAAGATGGAGGGGGGAAGGAACTCCAGGCCAGGGACACAGCTTGAGCAAAGGATGGAGCGGGCGATGGAAGTAACTCTTTGGAAACTGATGATGTGTTTTCACCAATAGAGGGAGGTTGATATCTTTCTTTTTTTAAAAAAAAAAAATTAATTTCTTTATTGATTAAGGTATCACATATTTGTCGTCAGCCCCCCATTCCAATCCCCCCCCCACTCATGCCTCCACCCCCCTATTATCCTTCACCACTGGTTAGGCTCATATGTGTGCACACAAGTCCTTTGGTTGATCTCTCCCTTTTATCCCTACCCTCCCTCTGAGGTCCAACAGTCTGACCCATGGCTCCTTATCTCTGGGTCTGTTCTTGTTCATCCATCTAGGTTGTTCACCATTTCCCCCAGATGAGTGAGATCATGTCCTACTGGAAATATACTTATAAGAATAAAAAATGAGACAAGCAATAATCGTTATGATGAAAGGCATATGAATCAGTCTGTAGTGAGCTTTTTTTCTGGGCCACCGGTTCTTTTGAGACCCAATTTCAATGTCAAACAGTTCCTTATGTGTACCTGTCAGCCATGATATTTCAGTTCTGGATGGTGGGCAAATGGTGGAAATGCAGGTCCAACCCTCTCTGGTTTGGTCCTGGGCAACCTGCAGTGATACACAGCTGCTGACTGCTAGTATGGCAAGGCGTCGTCAGCGTCTTCCATCTCTGGACTGCTTCTCTTCTGTCTTCATGGTTGGAGTAGTCCTGGGGAGGTCGGTCTCTGTGGGTGCGCAGTGATCTGTGGCCGGTCCTCAAACACAGACAGCATGGTGTGTCGGTAGGAGCCAGGACAGGTTCGAGAGCAGGTGGCCTGCGGGCGGAGAGGCAGGAGTAACAACACAGAAACACCCACCCGCGGGGCACGGATGCCCAGGCGCGGGAGGGGCTCACTGTGTGGCTGCAGTCTTGGGTCCAGAACTGAGTCCCTCCAGGCTGACCCCCGCCCCTCTCTGCCCGTGTCCCCCAGGCGGCTGCCAGTTGGGCATCTCGGCCAAGGGAGAGCGCTTGAAACACTGGTACGAGTGTCTGAAGAACAAGGACAAGAAGATCGAGCGCTGGCACCAGCTCCAGAACGAGAACCACGTGCCCAGCGACTAGGATGGCGCCCAGCTCCCTAGCTCTGTGCCCAGGTCCCCCCTCCCCCAGCCTGCCCTGCGGCCCACTGCACTCTGGTCTCTCCCCTGAATGCCCCCCACCCCTCCCCTGCCGCCCTCTCTGAACCTGCTTTTGGGGTCCCCTTCACCTCGGGTGTTGCCGCCAAAGAACTACTCCGCCCCCCGCGATGCTGCTGCCAGGCTGAGGCTGCCAGGCTGAGGCTGCCAGGCTGTGAGGCAGCCCCTCCATCCAGGCCCCGCTGGGATGGAGCCGTCGGGACAGGGATGGGAGATCCTTACAAGGAGGCTGCTCCTTGAACAACCTTCCGGTCTGGGTAGTCACAGACGTCCGCCGTCGTGTAGGACTGTCTGAGCCGCCCTGGCCTCGAACGGGCGGGCACCTACACACCCGTTCCCTGTGTCGCGTCTGTGTGTCCCCTCGGCGGTCAGCACTGGACACGGCTGTGGGGACCCTGGACGGGGGCAACATGAAGCTTCCAGGCTCCCAGCTTTCTGTCCCCCTCCACCCCCGTCTCTTTCCCCTTCTCCCCTCCCTCTCTAAGGGGTTCAATAGCAAAAGCAGAAAGCACCCTAACACAGCCTCCCCCCTCACTCCTCCCGCCGGCCAGGCCAGCAATCATGGAGAAACTGGCACACCCTTGCTTCCTCGGAGTGCCCACTCTCCTGCGGGCACTGCCAGTGGCCTCGGGCGGAGGGCCGGCTGTGGGCACTGTGTAAGCAGCCGAGGAGGGCTTTCTCAGCCCCTGGCCTCCCCCAGTGGGCGCAGGAGGCGCCTGGAAGCCAAAGCCCAGAGGACAATCAGTGGGAGGGAGGGGGGGACGGACTAGGTCCTAGATCGGGGACGATCAGTCTGGAGGGAGCAGGGAGGAGTGGGGACCTCCCTGGTTCCTCCAGCATCGGTTCCTCCTTCCTCTGCTCTCAGTTCAGTGGACCCTCGACCCCTGTCCCCGACACTCGGACTCGGCTGCTTTGACTCGCGCGCCTGCGTCTCACCCCGAATCGCCCCAAATCTCTGTCCCTGTCTCTGTCTCTCACACCCTCCCGTGTGCTGGAGGGACGCACCACCACCACCACCGTGGGTCTAAAACGTCAGTGTGACAGTGCCGGTGCCAAAGGCTCTGGTTCCATTGGAACCACCCGGTCTGGCCCTTTACCAAAACTGCTTCCGAAGGAGGAGGAGCCGTGCGTCAGGCAGTCCCCATCGGAGGCCGGGTCCGGGCGGCCTTGGTGTTTCCCAGCTCCCTCGGTGCCGCGCTGGCCCCTGTGAGCAGCGACCCCGCCCGCCCTCATCCGAGACGGACACGCCAACGCCCTCTTTCCGGAAACGCGCGCCTTTCCACTGTCCCTGGCCAGGCTCTCCGCCCCCGGCTCTCCGCACAGTTCGTGGGGAGCCCCTGGTTCCCGAACACCCCGTTCCCCGCCTGCCCCCAGATGGCCAACAGCTTCCTGGCTGCCCTCGGCCCCTGACCCTCCGCGGCCCACGGTTTGCCCTCCGGAGAAAGCATGCTGGCTGCCGCCCGCCCGAGCCTGGCGCTGGCACTGGCGCTGGAACCAGCATGCAGCGAGCTCCCGGTGCCCGCAGCCCAGGCGCACACTCTCTCGGCTCCCCCCTCCCCCAGATGTAACCGCCCCCCCCCCCCAGCCTCGTGTACACACACGCCCTCTGGTGCATGCAGAGCCCCGAACCGCGCCCCCCCCCCCCCGCCTTTCTCTGTGATGATGTAGCCAACAATAAAGTAGGAATATCCATGAGCTCCTCGGCCTGCACTCTTCCTTTCTGGTTCCCGGGGTTCCTTCTCCCGCCAGGAAACAGCTCCGGCCTGAGGGGCGATGTTTAATGAGCATCTACTACGTTCCATACGGAAGACGTGGTCTCTGTCCACGTGGAGCTTGCTTTCCATGGATGTCAGCCTGGGCAGGTAGGCTCAAGGCCACTGGTCTCACCCCACAGCCTCTTAGACAAGGACTCTGTGTGTGCGCCCACCCACCAGGCAGTCAGCATCCTCAGCTTCTCCCTGTCAGCCCCGCCTTGGGGGCAAGTCCCACCTGGTTGTGGGCTCAGATAACGTGACAGCTGTCAGCTCACTCACCCACCTGGTGAGTAATCCAAAGCCCAGTCTGGGGGGGGGTGGGGGGAGCTAGGTCCTAGATCGGGGACTCCCTGTGGGTGCTCCTCGAGGGTTGATTCACACCAATGAGATCATCGAGTGCCTCCTTTGTATTCCAGCACCTTCCATCCTGCAAGGAGCCTTCCCAGGGGCCCCTCCCTCGAGGTTCTCCAGGTCCCAAAAGTGAGCTGAGTAGGTAACAAACTTCCCAGCTGGATCCCTGATCCCACTGTCCCCCATCCCCAGCGCGCTCGGGGGGGGGGGGGGGGAATGCATCCAGAATGTTGGTTTCCTCCCAGAAGGAACAGTCATTTCCACCCGACAGGCCACGCTCGAAACGAGTTCCTTGTCTTGTCCCCCCCAAAGGGAGGTTCCCAGTGTTGGGGCAGCAGGCGGCATAACGGGATCCCCTGGGGAGATGTTTTTTCAGTCTACCCAAGCTCTGCCCACCAGAACACTGACTGGTTAATCCACCTGCTGTGGATCAAAATATTTCCTGGTTGATGTCTGTTCCCACCTCCATTCTGACTTGGCAAACCACGGCCCTGACATCCTGTTGGTTTTTTTCTGCAATTCACCTAACGGCCACCAGGTGGAGAGAGGTGCCCATGACAGCCATCCAGGCCTCCTGGGAATGGCAGAGGACACTTGTTGCCACTCTCTCCCTCTGCTCATGGCAGACATCACTAATCGATACAGCATCATTCCCACGGAGCCTCCTAGCAGCCTCTGAATCCTTCTTCTTCTTTTTTTTTTTTTTTTTTTAATACATTTTATTGGTTTTCTTACAGAGAGGAAGGGAGAAAGAGAGTTGGAAACATTGATGAGAGAGTCATCGATCAGCTGCCTCTTGCACACCCCCTACTGGGGATGTGCCCCCAACCAAGGTTCATGCCCTTGACTGGAATCGAACCCGGGACCTTTCAGTCCGCAGGCTGACGCTCTATCCACTGAGCCAAACCGGTTTTTGCCTGAATCCTTCTTAACACAGCAATCCAGGCCGCCAGCACCACTCAGTCATGGGCAGTTGAAAAGACACCTCATTTCCTTCTCTAGACATGGGGACATCTCTAGACATGGGGACACTTCCAAGAGGTGAGACCACGTTGCCAAGCTCTGGTCCGGGAAGGGGGAGGGCATCAAAAGGCTGGTGGTTCCTGGTGGAAGGCGTATGCGCTGGGCCCACAGGCAAGCGGATTCAGCGGTCAGTATTCTGGTCCCTCCTCCGCTCCAGTTTGCCAGGGACGTGAGCCTAAGGAAATTCGACGATACATGCCAGCCCCACGGAAATACGCGTTGCCACGCATGCACGGAAGAGGGCTGTTTTGCTCGGCTCTGGCCCAGGACTGCTGCATGACCTTGAGCAAGTCACTTCCCCATGTGGGTCCTCGACTCCAAAGGTAGGACATCCGAGCATCACCATCCTCTGACGCGGGCCTTCACTTCCCGGCCATTCAAGAAAGGCCTGGAGCAGGGGTGGGGAACCTTTTTCCTGCCCAGGGCCATTTGGGTATTTGTAACATCCTTCGTGGGCCATACAAAATGACCAACCCAGAAGTTAGCCTGCTGTATTTGGTCAAACATTTCATGAACTCACCCCTAATGCCTTGGCAGGGTCAGTCCCAATGATTGCAAGAGCCTTACGTGGCCCGCGGGCCGGAGGTTCCCCAAGCCCGTCCTAGACCTTTTTGCTGAGGGCAGGCCTCTGTGGGGGGAGTCCCTCGCGGTCCGTCTTGTACGACACACACAAGGCTGTGCCATCTATGGTTTCCTGTTCCTGTTTCTTTAAAGGGAACAAGAATGTAACGCCGCTTGCAAAAGCATGAGGGCGTCATTCTGTACCCTTCCAATTCCTTCCTCCACTCGGACAGCGGTAGTTCTTACAACTCACGCTTCCCTGATTCGAGGCAATGTCTTGTGAAACATGCTTCTATTGCACTTTCCCTTAAAGAATTCACTGCTGGTTTCCTAAGGGCAGGTCTCTGTGGGACCCGTGTTGGATCTGTTTATATGTAGACGTAGCCCAAAGTAAACATTTCATGAACAAGCACTTTGGCCACAAAGGGAGCAAACAAAATCTCTGATATACGTACGACCCAACCGGTGGGCTACTCGAGTGCCGTGTAGACGGAGGCCCGCCCCTTCATAGTTACATTTTTTTTAATATATGTATTTTATTGATTTTTTTGTAGAGAGGGATAGAGAGCTAGAAACATCGATGAGAGAGAGTCATCGATCAGCTGCCTCTTGCACACACCCTACTGGGGATATGCCCGCAACTAAGGTACATGCCCTTGACTGGAATGGAACCCAGGACCCTTCAGTCCGCAGACCGACACTCTATCCACTGAGCCACACCGGTTTTGGCCAAAGTTACACTTTGCTTTAAGCAAAAGTCAGCACGGTGCACGGGAATGGGGAGAGCCAGCTAACGGAGGAGCTGGCGAAGAGGAGGGTAGCGAAGAAAGACAGATGAATGGACATCTGCACACGATGCCATCCAACAATAACAGCATACACGTTCTCCTCAAGCTTACGTGCAACATTCCCCAAGACAGGCCACGTTCGGACCAGAAGACACACCTCAGCACGTTCAAAAGGGATGCCTCTCACCACGAGGGGACCAAACACTCCATCAGTAACAGAAGGCTATCTGGAAAATTCCAAAATATTTGAGGACTAACACACTTTTGACTAACACAGGAGTCAAAGGATCCTCACGAGAAATGTAAAAACAGTTTGCACCAACTGACAATGAAGATACAACCAAGTAAAATTGTGGGATGCAATGGAATCGGTGATTAGAGGGAATTTTTGTTTTTTAAATCCTCACCCAAAGGTATGTGTATTGATTTTAGTGACAGAGGAAGGGAGAGGGAGAGAAACATCTATGGGAGAGAGAAACATCACTCGGTTGCCTCCCCTATGCACCTTGACCGGGGATCAAACCTGTAACCTGGGTGTGTGCACTGACCGGGAGGCACACCAGCAACCGACATGTTCCTGACGGTAGGTTTTGAGGTTAGGAGTGTGGACGGAAGGGGCCACATGCTGACCTGACCAGCTCAAGGGAGGCCTGCATGGCAGTCTTGCAAACTCAGAGACCTGATGTCACCACAAAGGATGGCCTGAAATTAAACTTTAACTAAAAGCAGTGATGGTGGGCAGTTCTGTCCTAGGCTGGTATCTTCACTGACAAGGTCAGCCTTTACCTAACTGAGCCTAGCTGTCTTTTTGCATCTATGATAACATACCCTTAAAATGTCTAGGTGACTTGTAACTCCCCTTTTCTGGAGCCCCTGGGGCACAACCAAATGTGCTGGGCGCCAGGACAGAGACCACAGATTCCTTCATTATCCTGTTCATTGTTCCTGCTCCCACCTAAGCATGTGTCCATCATTTCACTTTTTATCCAATCCAAGGGGTTTCCTCCGCTTTGCTTCATCCCACCTCCTCATTCTATGACCAATGGATTTCATGAAACCCAGTTATGTCCCTCCTTTGATGGCAATGTATACCGTATTTTTCCGGTGTATAAGACGACACTGTGTTCTAGTAAAAAGCCTGCTCAGATTGGCCAGAGTCAGAGAGGCAGTCTATTAAAAAAAGAACTGGTGTTGCCTTGGAAGTGGGGGTAGTCTTATACAGCGAATATAGGCCTAAACCTATGTTTTAACTGTAAAATTAGGGGGTCGTCTTATACGCCGGAAAATACGGTAAATACAGATGGAACCCGCCATTCCCTGGAGCGTTATCTCAATTTGTTGAGGTTCTGCTTCCCGGCATATGTCTACAGTTTGGCTCAAATAAACTCACAGAAATTCTTTACAGGCTTCAATGGTGTTTTATGTTAACATTACTTGGTAAATGGAATGGGAAAACTGAAGCAGATCGCTGAACACACTGGTTGATCCATTGACAGGTAGATAGTAAACCAAATGTTGACAGTTTAGCTCAAATAAACTCACAGAAATTCTTTACAGGTTTCAGTGTGTTTGGTGTGTGTGTGTGTGTGAGAGAGAGAGAGAGAGAGAGAGAGAGAGAGAGAGAGAGAGAGAGAGAGAGAGAGAGATTCACATTAACAGGGGTTATGAATGGGGTTTTCTGCTTCCTGAGTTTTCTGACCTTTGGCCGTATGCATGCACTAATCCCGGGAGACTATGAAACAATTTTGTCAGCAACAACAACAAAACAAAACAGAAACTAGGAAGAAGAGAACCAAACATTGGTTTCTCTCTGGTGAGGTACTTCCCGGACGGGGTGAAGAAACGGTGTTTCCGGGCGCAATCTGAAGACAGGCCGCTGCTAACAGCAGAGATAAAGTGCAGAACGTGGGGTGGGGCTGGGGATCCCCCCCCTCCCCCCCGGAGTGAGACCACCTGATAAGAGGCTCGGGCTTGGCTCCTCCCTTCCCAGGAAACGAAACCCAGGGCAGCTCAGGCTTGGGTCACAGGAGAGAGAGAGACTCCAGCTGTTTCCTTGGCCCCTGGCTCTTCCCGTCTCTGCCCGAGCATCACAATGTCGCTCGAAACGCTCGAAACGACCCCAGCCAGGGATCTGGACAGGTTTATTGAACGCCACCTCCTGCCGGACACTGATTTCCGAACGCAGATCAAGGGAGCCATTGACATCATCTGCAGTTTCCTGAAGGAGAGGTGTTTCCAAGGTCAAGGTCAAGTCCAGATATCGAAGGTTGTAAAGGTGAGCCCCCCTGCCAGACTGCGGAGGAGGGGGTATGAGTTGAACGGGTATGAGTTTCCACAGAGAAAGAGATCTTGGGGGAGAGGGGGGCGATGGTTTCCAGTTGATCCATACCAAAAATATAACCACCGTTTGTGAAAATAGACTCTGTAATTTTTAAAATAAATATATTTTTATTGATTTCAGAGAGGAAGGGAGAAGGAAAGAGAGAAACATCAATGATGAGAGAGAATCATTGATCGGCTGCCTCCTGCATGCTCCCTACTAGGGATTGAGCCTGCAGTAACCTGAAATGTGCCAGATGGAGAATCGAACCGTGACCTCCTGGTTCATAGGCCAATGCTCAGCCACTGAGCCACACCGGCCTGGCCAGACTCTTCACTGACCCAGTGAAGTTCATGAACCACCGTCCTAAGCCACGCCCATTTCAGAGATGGGGAAGCGGAGGCCCAGCTGGGATCAACAACCTGCTAATTAATGGCCATTTATGCAGAATCTAAATTTTGACAGGTTGCTGGTCACTAGGTGAATGGAGGTTGGGCAGGATGGGGGTGGAGGGAGAGAATGAAGAGGATAAAAGGGTTCAAATACAATGTGGCACAAGGGTCTTGATTGGTGAGCACACAATAGCCTGTACAGATGTACCACAAGGTTGTGCATCTGAAACGGATGTACACGGCTAATACACCCCCCAGTGGGTTTAATAATGATTGCAAAAAGCATGTAGCACCGACTGGCAGTAAAACCTTGAGCAAGGCACTCAGCCTGCCGGTGCCTCCGCTTCCTCATCCATCCTTCCCTGTAGGCTACTGGGCTGTGCAGATTAAGTAAACCACCCAGCGTGGGCCAGACTACAGCATGTAATAATACAAGACAGTAAGAGCCAGACAGCGAAGACTGCAACTTCTAATAGAACAAGGCAGCTGGGGCTTGAGCTGTGTCTCTGCCACCTGTCAGTGGTGGCTTGGGCTGTTAGATCATCTCTCTGAGCATCAGTTTTCCCACCTGTGAAATGGGAACTAATCATCATCATCATCATCATCTATACTAATAAAAGTCCAAGTGGCGTCTTGCCCTTGCATCATCACAAGATGGCTGCCCCATGTCATTACAAGATGGCCGCCATAAGATGGCCAGCAGGGGAGGGCAGTTCTGGGTGATCGGGCCAACAGGGAAAGGCAGTTGGGAGTGACCGGGTCAGCAGGAGAGGGCAGTTGGGGTGATCAGGCAGGCAGGAGAGCAGTTAGGTGTCAATCAGGCCAGCAGGGGAAAAGTTAGGTGTCAATCAGGCCAGCAGGGGAGCCGTTGCAGGGGTCTTCAAACTATGACCCGCGGGCCACATGCGGCCCACAGAGGAGTCTGATCCGGCCCGCCAGGTTTTTTGGGCAGTGAGCGCAGCCGAGGTGTTACAGTAGGAATTAGTAGTTCATATAGTCCGGCCCTCCAGCTCTCTGAGGGACCGTGATCTGGCCCCCACTTTAAAAAGTTTGAGGACCCCTGGTTAGGGGGTGATCAGGCCAGCAGGTAGAAGCAGTTAGGGGCAATCAGGCAAGCAGGCAGGCAGGTGAGCGGTTAGGGGCCAGCAGACCCAGATTGTGAGAGAGATGTTCGAGTCCTGCAGGATTGGGCCTAAACTGGCAGGCAGACATCACCGGAGGATTCCCAGATTGGAGAGGGTGCAGGCCGGGCTGAGGAACTCCACCCTCCAGTGCACGAATTTCATGCACCAGGCCTCTAGTATTAGTAGTAGTAGTAGTAATAATAATAATAATAATAATAATAATAATAGTAATAGTAATAATGCCTGAATAGCAAAGTCCTTGGGAGCATCGTAGGAAGTAGGACTGGCAATGCCCTCAGAACGACGGCCGGCGCCCAGGTCCTTGGCTCTTCTCATGCTCCGCTCCGTTCCAGGCCGGCTCCTTGGGCAAAGGCACGGCCCTCAGAGACACGTCCGACGCCGACCTCGTGGTCTTCCTCAGCCCCCTCACGAGTTTTCAGGAGCAGTTTCGTCGCCGAGAGGAGTTCATCCGGGAAATCAGACGTCAGCTGGAGGCGTGTCAGAGGGAGAGAAGGTTCGCCGTGAACTTCGAGGTCCGGAACCCCGGAGTGCGGAACCCCCGCGCACTGGGCTTCACGCTCAAGAGCCCCTCTCTCCCGGGGGCGGTGGTGGAGTTCGACGTGCTGCCCGCCCACGATGTGCTGGGTGAGCGCCCCCGCCACGAGCCACGTCACACTCACTTTATTTATTTATTTATTTTAAATATATTTCATTGATTTTTCACAGAGAGGAAGAGAGAGGGATAGAGAGTTAGAGACACCGATGAGAGAGAATCATCGACCGGCTGCCTCTTGCGCAACCCCCTACTGGGAATGTGCCCGCAACCAAGGCACATGCCCTTGACGGGAATCGAACCCGGGACCTTTCAGTCCGCAGGCCGACGCTCTATCCACTGAGCCACACCGGTTTCGGCCACACTCACTTTAAAGTGAAGCTCTTTCACCGGGCCCGGCACCTCGCAGGTGTTCAAAACTGGGAGTTCCCCAACTGGGCCCCCAGGCCCCTAGGACACCCCGGAGAACTGGCTCACAGGGCTGTGCAGGAAGAGCTTAGATTTTTAAACTTCGGAGGGAAAACACGGCGACATCTGTTTTCCCTTCAGACACCGTGCAAACTGCTCCTATTAAGTTGAAGGAACACAGAACCGGTAGGAATTTCTTTTGGCCTGGGCTCTCGAGAGAAACACCACAAAACGAAAAAAAAACAACAACAAACAAACAAAAAACAGCTTGGCAGTATTCCCCCGGGGGCCATGTCCCGTGTTGGCTGCTGGGGTACAACGGTCCTAAAAGAGAGAGAGAAAAGGGGAGAGCACAGGTTAGAGAGGATCTGAGTGCATTGGGGGAAATGCAAGACGCAGAGGATGGATGGGGAGGAGAGGACCAGGAGGAAGGAAGTGATGGAGAAAGCAGCCAGGACAGCGGAGCCTGTAAGCTCCATGGCAAGGGCCAGGCGGTGGCAGTGGATGGGAGAACGGGGTGGGATGAGGGGGTGGGGGTGGGGGTGGGGGGCTGGAAATGGCCTTTTCCACTGTATCCACGGCCACCAAGCTTGTCCCCCAGAGCGATGGGAGTTATGGATTTGTCCCCAACAGGTCAGGTGACGGAGCACTACAGACCTTCCCCCAACATCTATGTCAAGCTCATCGAGGAGTGCAAGATCCTGAAGAAGGAGGGCGAGTTCTCCGCCTGCTTCACGGAGCTGCAGCGAGCCTTCCTGAAACAGCGCCCGGCCAAGCTCAAGAGCCTCGTCCGCCTGGTCAAGCACTGGTACCAGAAGGTGTGGGTCCTGCCAGACCCAGGAGAGGGAGGAGGGGAGAGAGACTGCAGAGGGGAGCAGGAGGGGAGGGAGGGAGGGAGGGAGGGAGGGAGGGCGGGGGCGGGAGGGGAGGCATGTGAGGAGAAGGGAGCGGTGGAGAGGGAAAGAGGAGGGGGGAGAAGGAAAGGGAGGGAGGGGCGGGAGAGGGGAACATGGAGGGAGAGATGAGAGGAGGAAGGGGGAGGCGTAGAAGGGGCATAACTTCTAGGTCCCTCCTAGCTCTTGCTCTGTTTCTCTTTCTCTGGATAGAGTGTTCCCAGTTCTTTCCAAGCCAGTATTTGGCCCTGCAATATTTAGAGTTTCAGAAATTTATTACTATTTTATCTCTCTCTCTTTTTTTTCTTTTTCTTCTCTTCCTGCTGGTGCCCTGTTTCATTGTGTGCCTGGTTATTTCTATGCTCGTCATAGTACTTGAAATTATTTGTGAGGTCATTTGGAGCTTTGGATCATGTATCTCCCTGCAGAGAATTTTTATTTATTTATTTATTTATTTATTTATTTATTTTGCTTCTAGAAGACACTTAGGAAGTGCTTAAAGTGCTTCCTCTGAATTATTTTTCACAACATCGTTTTAAAATTATTTTTATTGATTTCAGAGAGGAAGGGAGAGGGAGAGGGAGGGAGGGAGGGAGGGAGGGAGGGAGAGAGAGAGAGAGAGAGAGAGAGAGAGAGAGAGAGAGAGAGAGAGAGAGAGAGAGGGAGAGAGAGAGAAACAGCAAGGATGAGAGAGAATCATTGATGGGCTGCCTCCTGATCCCCACTGGGGATCGAGCCTGCAACCTGGGCATGTGCTTGTATCAAGAACAGAACAGCCGGGACTGGTTTGGCTCAATGGATAGAGCGTCGGCTTGGGGACTGAAGGGTCCCGGGTTCGATTCCGGTCGGGGGCATGTACATTGGTTGTGGGCACATCCCCAGTCGGGGGTGTGCAAGAGGCAGCTGATCGATGACTCTCTCTCATCGATGTTTCTAACTCTCTATCTCTCTCCCTTCCTCTCTGTACAAAATCAATAAAATATATTAAAAAAAAAACAAACAAAAAAAACAGAACAGTGACCTCCTGGTTGATAGGTCGACGCTCAACCACTGAGCCACACCGGCCGGGCTCATCATGTCCTTTTAAGGTAGATGCTATTATTACCGTTCACTTGGTAAATGGGAAAAGTGAGGCTTCAAGAGTGGTCTGCCCAGCCCGGCCAGTGTGGCTCAAATGGCTGAGCTTCCAACTGGCGCCAGGAGGTCACCAGCTCATTGCCGTCAGGGCACCTGCCTGGGTCTGGGCTCTTTCTCATCGATGTTTCTATATCTCTCTCCCTCTCCCTTCCTCTCCAAGAATCAATAAGAACACATTTAAAGGAAAAAAAGAAAGGAAGGAAGGAAGGAAGGAAGGAAGGAAGGAAGGAAGGAAGGAAGGAAGGAAGAAAGAAAGAAAGAAAGAAAGAAAGAAAGAAAGAAAGAAAGAAAGAAAGAAAGAAAGAAAGAAAGAAAGAGAGTTGTCTCCCAGAATCAGGTGAGGTTGGAGCCAGGATTCAATCAGGATCCAGAGCCCCAGCCCTAACCAGGGTCAGCAACCTCTTTTCCTAAACCTCGAGGTGGTAAATGTGTCAGACCGTGGGGCGCGTCTCTGTCCTGGACCGTGGGGGGCGTCTCTGTCCTAGCTACTCAACGCAGGCTTTGGAGCGGGAAAGCCACAGGCGGCACATGCGTGAATGAGCATGACTTTGGCGCCAAGAAAACGTTATTTACAAAAGCAGGCGGGAGGCAGGCTTCGGCCACAGAGCCGGACGAGCCCATCTTCCTGGCTGTTTTCCCTCCTCTCAGTGTAAGGAGAAGGTTGTAGGTCGCCTGCCGCCTAAGTACGCCCTGGAGCTCCTGACCATCTACGCTTGGGAGCGTGCAGGCCAGCCTGAGGACTTCAACACAGCGCAGGGCTTTCGGAAGGTCTTGGCATTAGTCATGAGACACCGGCGGCTGTGCATCTACTGGACACAATATTATGACTCTTCACACCCCGTGATTGGCCCATACCTGGAGAGGCAGTTCAGGAAACCCAGGTACTCAGTCCCCACTGAGTGGGGAGGGGGGCGCTAAGCCCTGTGGGGAGCTCTGCTCTGGTGCCTTGGGCATGAGGAAGCAGGAGGCTCCATGTCGGTGGGGCCATCTGCTGCTGCCAACCCCAGTGCCGGGCACCTTTCTGCCATCCGGTTAGACAACAGGCAGCCCTGTGAGGCGGGCACTGAGGGTCTGAGGGGGGAGCAGCTTGCCCCCACCGTCCCAGGAAATGAGCGCCACGGCTGCCATGTGGGCTAAAACAGGGGGGGGATGAGAGGCTCCCTGGGGGGCTCACACACCCGAACAGGAAACCGTATTATCACGGGGACTGACGCAGATAGACACCCCCCCCCCCATTGGGCTGGGTCCCAGGTACCGGGCGGGGCATTTCACCTTCTTGGAGGTGGCCCCATTTCACAGAGGAGGACACCGAGGCTGAAGGAGCTCCAGTGACCGGCCCAAGGGCACACCGCGCGCGAATCAGGGGCACAGCAAGGCCCAAGCGCAAGGCTCCTTTTCCTGGGTTTGCTGTTCACCAGGACACGTGGGGTGAGCCCCAGGAAACGACGCCCTGCTGGGTCCTTCCTCTACCCCCCCCCCCCCGGCCCACCTGCCCCAGGAGGTTAGCAATTACAGGAGCATCTAGACTCGGGAGACCCAGCCCAGCTCCTCCGCTGTCCCTCTCTCAATGTCGCTCCTCAGGCCTGTAATTCTGGACCCTGCGGACCCTACCAATAACGTCGGTGGCCAACATCGAAAAGGCTGGAAGCTGCTGGCGAGAGAGGCTGGGGCCTGGTTGATGTACCAGTGCTTTCACAATGGAAATGGGTCTCCAGTGCGCCCCTGGAAAGTTCTGGTGAGACCCCCCCTGCTCCCTCCCAGTCCTCCCTCCCTCTCCCCCTCCACACAGCGTGGGGGCCCTTGTTCCCAAGGAAGTCGCCTCTCACCTACACAGCGTCAGGCCGAGCTCCCGGTTTTACAGTCACTTTTTATCATCACCACGTAGACCCCACTCCGAGGGTTCCTTGAATGGCCACGTCCTTTGTCCAAAGTTCCTTCTTTACACCGGGCTGCCCTGGCCGAAGGTCGCGTTTGTAACCACTCCAGTTGTCTCCTTCTTCCAATGATAACAAGCATGGCAGCCACTGCTCACGGAATGTCTGCCTGGCGCCCAGCTTCTGTCCCCAGCCCTTTAGCACACATTATTTTATTCAATCACCGAGCCCTGCAGCAACGCATAAGGCAGGTTTTCCTCTCTGGGCTCACAGACAAGAGGGGGCTCAGAGGGGTGGTGCTGCTGCTCAGGGCATTCAGCGAGGTAGGGAGGGAGCGGCAGAGCTGGGACTCAAACCTGCGGAGTCCAAGGCTGGTGCCCACTCCCCTGTGTAAACAGCTTGTCTGTCCCCGCCCCCCACCCCCTGCTCCCACCTCCAGCATCTGACAAACAGGAGACTCAGAGCAGCTGAGTGGCGAGGGCATGTCACCCAGCTAGTAGGGGCAGCCACTCCTGAACTGGCGTCTTCCCACGCCCAGGGGATTGGTGATGTCATGGGGGTTCCCATGAAGCAGGCTCGAAGAGGGGGTGTGGTATGCAGGAACGGGGCGGAAGGAAGCAGGTGTGGGCACAGGGCGAGTCCAGCTGGGATGCAGTCCGACCACAATGTCAGCCCCCTCACCCCCCGGGGCCCTGGATCGGCTCCTAAATGGGGCAACTGAGGAAGGGAGTGGCCTTAAACCCAGACAACCAACCCCAAAAGGCCTATCTCTGACGTCTGTTGCAACAGCCCCCCGGCCCACCTGGGACTTGCTCCCCTTTCCTTGAGGAGGAGCCGAGCGGCCTGTCACAGAGCCACCCCAAAGCCAAGGCGGGCAGCAGCTCTGCAAGGTGACCGTGCACTTGACTCTTGCAGGACTGAGGAGGCAGCGGAGATGCCTGGGGAACATCTGCTCTCAAGACACATCAGCACCCCGACTGCGGACAGCACCCTGGTCCTTCTACAACGGCCTTCCCCGGGCAGAGTGCTCCCTCTCCCCCCCCCCCCCCCCCCCCACGATGGAGGAGAACAGAACACACACTCACCTGTTGCCTTTCAGATGCAAACCAGCCAATCAGAGCCCAGACCCCCGACTCACCCAGGGCAGGTCCCAGACACCTGGGCAGAGCGCACTGGAATGATTCAAACGGGCCCATCCTAGGCCTGCTGACCCGCCTTCCCTTTCCTATGGGAACTATCATAAAGGTTCTTTTTCTTTTTTAGTTAATCCTCACCCACAGGTATTTTTCCTATTGATTTTTAGAAACAGTGGAAGGGAGGGGAGGGACAGTGAGAGAAACATCGATGGGAGAGAGGCACATGGACTGGTTGCCTCCCAGATCCGCCCCACCAGGGCCAGGATGGAGCCTGCAGCCCAGGTACATGCCCTTGACCAGAATCAAACCCGGGACCTTTCCGTACGAGGGCCAACGCTCTATCGACTGAGCGAAACCAGCCAGGGCTGTGGCGAAGGTTCTCGCCCCTGTTTCCCCTCTCTCCCTGTGGCTCAATCCCGTGTGGCCGCGTGTGGGACCCTCCCTCCTGTTTCTAGGGATCTGTGAGTAGAAATGTCTCCCTTCGTGATGATATCTAGTTTATAGCCTTTAACACTCGCAAAATAAATCACTTGAGATAAAACAACAGCACTTCCACAGCCTCCCCTTCCCACCTGGTAAGATCTGGGGGCCTGTCTCCTCAGCCCTTTTCTTTTTTTTTGATTTTTTACAGAGAGGAGGAGAGAGGGATAGAGAGCTAGAAACGTCGATGAGAGAGAAACATCGACCAGCTGCCTCTTGCACACCCCCTACCAGGGACGTGCCCGCAGCCGGAATCGAACCTGGGACCTTTCAGTCCGCAGACCGGCGCTCTATCCACTGAGCCAAACCGGTTTCGGCCATAGTGTCTTTTTTAACGGGGCTCTTCTCCCTCCCTGCCCAGCTCTGTTACCTGCCCGGACAGGTTTACCAAAGTTCTCCATGCCGACTCGAAAACCTGGGCATCACATGTAACGGGCACCTTTCTACCTTGTGGGTGAGCCACCTGTGTTGTCTTACGAGGGTTTCGTGATTATGAAAACAACATTACAGTCACCAGCACGTTAATGGAGTTGGTAATTAGTTGTTTCATTTGGAAAGCCAAAGGCATCATGCCGCAGTACTCATTGTAATTTCTTGAGGAATTTCCGTACTGCTTTCCGGAGCGGCTGACCATTTTGCATTCCCACCAACAGTCCCTGAGGTTCCCATTCCATTCCTCCACAGTCTCGCCAACGCTTGTGTCGTGTGTGTGTGTGTGTGTGTGTGTGTGTGTGTGTGTGTTTTAATGGAATAGCCATTCTTTCCTAGCTGGTTTGGCTCCATGGATAGAGCGTCGGCCTGCAGACGGAGGGGTCCCGGGTTTGAATCCCATCAAGGACACCTGCCGGGGTTGTGGGCTCGATTCCCGGTAGGGAACATGCAGGAGGCAGCCGATGAATGATTCTTTCTCATCACTGATTTCCCTCTCTCTCTCTCTCTCTCCCTCTCTCTCTCTCTCTCTCCCCCTCTCCTTTCCTCTCTAAAATCAATAAAAGTGTATTTCTTAAAAAACAGAACGGCCATTCTAACAGATGAGAGGTGATGGCTCATGGTTTTGATTTGCATTCCCCTGATGGTTAGTGATGTCAAGCATCTTTTCCCGGGCCTGTTGGCCATTTGTATGCTTTTTTTTTTTTTTTTTTTTTTTTTAGAAATAACTATTCAAGTGCTTGGCCCATTCTGTAATAGGACTATTTGGTTTTTTAAAAGTTGTTTTGCTCATCACTAGTGGGAGCTTCTGATTATTTTGGAAATTAACCCCTTATCAGCTTTATGGTTTGCACATATTTCCTCCCTTTCCGGGGCTTGCCCTCCCACGCTGTGGGTGTTTCCACTCACCATGCAGACGCGAATTAGTTGGATGTGGTCCCTCTTGCGTTGTTTTGCTTTTGTCACCTGAATTTGGTTGTGTGCTGATGTCCACAAGGCTGGGTAACTTCCTGCCGGGGAAACAAAAGGTTCTCTCTTCCACAAATGGTGCTGGGGAAACTGGGTAGGATGAATCTGTACGCCTACCTTACACCACACACACAAATGGACTCAAAGTGGGTCAGAGCCTCAAAGATTAAAATCCGACCTCGCCTTAATTATTATAAACTTAAAATAATTGAATAATCTCATAGCAATCTCTGTTATCTTTTTTTTAAAAAAAACAAAAATCCATGGCTTTCCTTGGCTTTTCTATTTCTATGTTGATTTTATACTCAGTGTGTACAGTTTCACCCAAAATATGGGGAGGCATTTAATCGGAGTTACACAAGTCAGATCAGGGAGAATGGCATCTGTGTCGCATGGAGAATCACAGTCGATGAAGTTGCTTTCCATTTATTTCTTTAATGACTGGATGAGTAAGTTTTAGAATTTTCTCTGAATTTCAATGGGTTGGGTTTTTTTCCATATTATTCTTAGGTACTTATTTCTGTGTTATTGTAAGCATGTTTTCTTTAATTTCATTTGGTAATGATTTGTTCCCGGAAGACCTAAATGCTTCAGTGTGTATATTTGATTATTAGTGACCTTAATACTTTCCTGAATTTTCTGATGTGATATAAATTCGAATTTGTATTGCTTGTATGCCACACACACACACACACACACAAAACACACAATAAAGCAATTTTTCTTGCAAAAACATATATTAAAATATTTCTTGTTTGTGAAATGTCAGCAAGACCAGGTTATAGAGAGATCTGGCATGCTGGTATTTGGAGTTGCTGGTTCAAGGGCAAGTTCATGAGATTTGGAAACAGGGGAGCAATTGTGGAAGGGATGATGGGGATTGAAACACCTGAGAAAGTCTCGCTGGAGTGGCTCCAGTTGTTTGGAGCATCATCCTGTACACCAGAAGGTGGCAAGTTCAATTCCTGGTCAGGGCACATACTGAAGTTGTGGGTTTGATCCCTGGTCAGGGCTTCTGGGAAGCAACCAAAGGGTGTTTCGCTCTCACATCGATGTTTCTCTTTTTCCCTCCCTTCCTAAAGCAAGCAAACAAAACCTCTGAGACACAAATTTCTGAGGCCCCAGAGGTAAGGCTACTTTCTAGGTAACTTCCGGCTGGGGAAACGAAACTGGGAAAAGAGCTGATGGTGAGTCAGCAGAGACGAGGGTGGAGGTCACGGAGGAGATAAGAACACAGTGGAAAGGCTGTCAGAGAGGCTGTGTCCTGTGTGGTTTGCGGTCCTGGGTTCATGGGGGAATCTCAGCTCAGGTTTATGCTGAGGTCCTCCCAGCTCAATTGGATTTTATTTTTGTTTAACTTTTTTCTTTTAATTTATTTTTTTAGAGAGGAAGGGAGAGGGTTAGAGAAATTGAAACATCAATGAGAGAGAAACATTATTGATCAGCTGCCTCCTGCACGCCCCCTCCTGAGGATCAAGACCGAACTCTGACATGCGGCCTGCCTGAGAATCAACCAGTCACCTCTTGGTCCCTGGCTCGATGCTCAACCACTGAGCCACACCAGCCAGGCTTCACTGGATTGGAGTGTACTGACACCTCTGAAGCCTGTGTGGTCGGTCCCAGATACCCCTTCTCCTCCTCCTCCCACAGCCCCTCCCTCCCGCCCCTCGCTCTGCCTGTGATATGCCGGGATCCCCTCCCACCCGCATAGTTACCGCCTTCCTCCCGTGCTCTGGGTTCGAATTTCCTCCTCTGTCCAACCCCACAGCTCCTTCAGGAGTCTCAGGGGACCAGCAACAATATTCATCAAGTTCATCTCTCCTGCTATTCCTAGAGATCTGGTGGCGTGGGAGGCTTGTCCACCACCTTGTTCCAACCTGTCTGCTTTCTACTTTCTAAAATCTGCTCGACTGTTCTGTCCCTCGATGGCGCGCCCTCTCCATTTCCAACGTGTAGACTTGCATGATACTTTGCTGCCCGGCTGAGGTGGCTCGGTTGGTTGAGCGTCGCCCTGGGCACCGAAACGATGCCAGTTCAGTTCCCGGCCAGGGCACACACCTGGGTGTCAGGTTCGACCTCCGCGTGGGGCACGTACAGAAGGCAACCAATCACTGTTCTCTCTCACGTTGATGTTCCTCTCCCTCTCGCCCTCTCTCCCTTCCTCTCTCTAAGCATGTCCACAGGAGAGGACTAAAACCATTGAATACATCTTTGCTGTCATTTCAGTAGGGTCTCGGGCATCTGTTCAGTCCACGTCCCACAGAGAAGATTTCTCACGTGGCCTGTGAATCGGGAAGACGGCTGTGATGAATGAGTAAGTGATTCCCCTTTACAACCTCTCACCGGTGACCCAGCCTTCCTCTTCTATCTGAATGCCCCAGTGACGTGGCACTCCCTACTCACAGGATAAACTGTGTACACATTGCCCGCCTACCACCACGCCCTCTGCCCTCTGGAACGCTCTCACCCCTGACCCCCTATCATTGCCTCTCAGTTACCGCAGGCCTCAGGAAGCTCTTGTGACACCATAATCAATAAAGAAATAAAATAAAATAAAATAAAATAAAATAAAATAAAATAAAATAAAATAAAAGATGAACTGTCCCCTGAGGGTTACTCAGAGGCAGAGTAAATGCTGGATCCTTGAGTGACGTGGAAGAGGACCAATGGTTTGAGTGAGACTGGGGGGAGGGGCTGGAGGGAGGGACCCTGGCACGGCCCCCCAGACAAAGAGCTCTGGTGTGCAGAGCAAAGAGGGTGGGGGAAGCAGCCGAAAAGCGAATCCAGGCTGTGAAGCTAGACACAGCCACGGCTGCCTGCAGAGTCCAGTGTCCCCTCTGCAGCTAACCTCCTGCTCAGGGGCCAGGCCCCAAGGAGTGTAGTCCTGAAGCTTTGTCACGTCGTGTTAGTAGGTGATTCTGTGCGAAAGGTGCCATTCTAAACTGCCTTTCCTCTCTCATTTCTCCTCGTTAAAAACAAACAAACAAAACAAACGTAATTCTTAGTCACTTTAGAATGGTGTGTTTGCAATGTTAAGAAATGGACTTTTTTCTAGAATTGCATCCCATGTATGAACTATTTGGGAAGAGTTGGCTCCTCAGGAATAGAGGGAGCAGTGGGAGCTGGCACAAACCGGTCTGAATCCCGTCGGACGACTTCCCACCCACCCGAGTGACCTTTGGCGAGAGGCCCAGGCTCTGTCCTGCACCCCTGGCCTGTGTGCGGACAGGGGCACACATCCGGGCGGCTGGGGGCGCCAGTGAGGGGGGAGGGATAGGTGGTGCAGGACCCGCTCTAAGGGCTCCTGGTTAGGTGTTCAGAACGCACTCTCCAGCCGGCGGGG